TCCTCTACGCATTCTCGAAGACGAGTCCGGAGCAACAGGGCGTCGACACCACGGCTGTTCCTTTGTCGAAGGACTCGTGTGGTTGGAAGCGGATGAATGCCCTGTCTTTCGCCCATAGCAACGACGTCAAAGAGCTGGAGCGAAAGATCACTGCCATTCCCAGCGATTTCCTTGGCCCTGCTGACGATCCTGGGAAATCTCCTCTCTTCGAGCATGGCCTACTGCACGACGACCCCACTGCGACGTGCAATCACCAGATCGATCACCCGCTCGACCCGGAACGCCCCGACATACGCCCTGTGTTTGAATACGTCCGTACGCTCTTTCATGAGTCGGTGTCCAAGGGCTGGCCTCGCTACAAGGTCACCGTCGATGGACGGGTCTACCTGATTGGGAAGCCGATCACGGACCCCTCTGGTCTGATTGGTCGTGGCACGCGAGGGTACGTCGCTGTGGAGTGGGAGACTCAACGCTTCGTCTTCCTGAAGGATGCGTGGAGGCCACATTATGTGGACCTCGAATACGAGGGCGAAATGCTTGAGAAGCTCAACAAGGCCAAGGTCTCCTATGTGCCCACTCTCGTCTGTCATGGCCGCGTCGGAGAGCAGGAAACGGAGGCGTCGGAGTATTCGCCCATCACTGGCCACAAGAAGTCCGACGCTCCTCACGACGAGGTGAAGGCCCCGGAACGAGACAAGTCGAAGCGACGCATTGCCGGCCTTCCTTCGAGGGCGAAGGGTTCGGACTCTGCTGTCAGGACTAAGCCATCCGTTCACGAGCCACGCCGCGGCGGTGCTAGCGAGCCTCTGAGGCCTAAACATCAACGCGATGATGACAAGGGGCCGAAACGCCCTCTTCTAGACAAGGAAGAGGAGGTCTACGACGGCATTGGTTTGCGTCACATGGAGCATTATAGGATAGTGGTTGCGGAGGTCTGCCTGGAAGTGACGTCTTTCCTGTATGGACAACAGCTGGCTCGCGTCATAATGCACTGCATCATTGGTGAGCAAACAGCTTTGTCTGTGTGAAGGGGCGCTCTAATACCTTTTGATGTAGGCCACCGGCAAGCTGTGGAAAGGTGCCGCATACTGCATCGCGATGTCAGCGCCGGAAACATCTTGATCCTGCCCACTATCAAGTCTGGGTGGATCTATTGGACTGGGATTCTGAGCGACTGGGAGCTCTCCAAGTTCCTTCCTGCGGACGAGGCAGAGCTCAAGGCTCGTCAGCCACATCGAACGGTACGTCGCCAACTCTGTCTAGGTCGTCTATTGGCTCATGTCGTATCAGGGCACTTGGTACTTCATGTCCATCCGCTCTCTCGCGTATCCTCATCGTCCACTTGGTATTCCTGACGAACTCGAATCCTTCCTCCACGTCATCATCTTCTTCGCCATACGCTTCATTTGCAGCAATTGCTCTTTGTCGGTAGTCCATAGCTTCATGGAGGACTACTTTGACGGGATGACTAATCAAGGGAGCAACCGGTATACGTGCAGCACGAGTAAGATCTCCACGATCCGCGAGGCTAGGCTCTGTCATGGCCATCTTAACATCGCCTTCATGGGCGGCGCAGACAAGCTCGGTAAAGACGACCAGCCGCTCGAGGGCGATGGGCACCCTCGTCATCCTCTCCGCGACTTGCTCGCCGACCTGCTCAAGCTCTTTCAAGCTCGTTATGCGGTTGAGGAGTGGGAGGCGAGCTCGGCCAGACTGGATGAGGCGAAAAAGGCGGTCCCGGAACCTTCGCCGCCCTCGCTGACGTCGACAGTTGCATCTCGAGATGGAGCCTATCAACGACCGCCTAGCGAATTTGGTGCTGATGACATCGAGCCAGAGGACGCTACCACGGTCGACGTGTTCTCTGGACCCACCAAGCCGAGCGACAAGACGTTTGAGGAAGCCAAGAAGCTCGACAGCCACCTTGCTGTGCTGCAAGTGTTCAAGCGTTATGTGGACAACCCTAGATTCGTCTGGCCTCTTGACGATAAGGTCAAGGACGGACTGGACGGATACCAACCTCCCGAATTCTTTGCGCAGGCGGCCAAGAAGGCTCGTCTGGTCACGCACTCCACCGTGACGCCGATGGCCACCATTCATGAAGGGGAGGAGGCGCGGATCCGTGCTCGTACTGATGCATGATGTGTTCCTGACCTGTCGAGACCGTTGAAGTAGATGAACGCGTACAAGAATAGTTTGTTTTTCTCATGTCAGCTAGCTTAGACATTCTCATGAATGTGATCGATCTGTAATGGATGTGGGGACCTTTGTCGTTTGTTGTCTGTTGTGAGTCCCTGCGTCACACGAGCCAAGTGTTGAGCGTTCACCGGGCAATTCTACCTGCGCGGATAAATGAATGTCGCGGGCACCGTCTTCAGGTCACCTCTGCAGCAGTGCGGCTATTGATGAGTTGTGGGGGACTGTCCACGGATGCGATCGCAACAGCAAAGACCTCGCGCAGCACGACCGCACTGCAAGCACAATGGAGACGGATTGCAATACAATGCAGAATGATATATATATAACCAAGATGCAAGATACAGAAATCGAAGACACGATCGATGGCCATTCCGCGGTGGACCTACTTATCATAGGTCTTGAGCACGTCTCGGGCGAGCGCGCGAAGCATTCCGACCGTGACGAGGGGCTTGTCACTCATATCCGTCGCGGCAGATATGCTTGGTGGGGGAGACGTCGAGGTGTCGTCTGCATACACGTCGATGATGCCATCATCTGAGGGCGAACGACGCACGCGTTTCGAGGATGTCGAGCTGAAACAATGCATGAGCGTCGTATTCAATAGGCACAGGGAACGAGAACGAACCCGTTGAGACGCGGATCGTCGCTAGACGCCCTGCGTTTCGGCGAAGGCCCGACTGACGATGACACGGAAGCACGGAGAGCGGCGTCGGCAGCAAGCTGGCGGAGCTTGTGGACTTGCCTGTTGATCGCACTTTCTGTCGCGCGTTGTGCTGCATCGACGACGTCTCTGGGGAACAGCATCGGCGCCGATGCGAACCTGTTTCCTAACAGGTCCTTGGCTGACGAGTACAGCAGGTCTGCGAGACCTTCCGAGAATGCACCAGTGGCGTACTCTGCAACTCATGTTAACATATTGAGGCCGCGGGACTGAAAGCGTAGACACTCACTCCGACCTGTTACTCCGGGTTGTGGGACGTCCTCAGGAATCTCGACGGTGACGTAGGATGGGGTGTCATTGAACAGGCTCAAGATGGCGCGCAACGCGCAGTTCAGGATGTCCCCGATGGCAGACATAACCTGGTTGTAGCGCACCCAGTTGACTGCCGAATGCTACATGAGAAACGATGCAGACTTGACTACGCGAGAAGAACGCACATTCGTCGTCAGGCCAGCAGGTATCCAACAAATCGGAGATGGCGGAATGTACTGGGTCTACGAAGAGGCTCCTAATGTCTAGATATGACACTGAATTGAGCGCGATATCCCCGACACTCCAACGGAAGAGGACATACCTCTCCAACCAAGAGGCACTGCTAATCGGTCCTCGACATCGAGCGGAGTAATATCGATGGTACTGGCGAACTTCTCATCCAGGTCCTTCACTGTAGTGGCCACCTTGAAGTAGGAGACGTGCTTGATGGTACCCTCCTTGACAAGCTTGTGCGTCTGCGCCGGTGATCAATTCGTATTGACGGGATAGAAGATTGAGCAGAACCTACCATGTCAACCAAGTCTCTTGTCTTCTCGCAGTCTTCGTTCTCGGACCAGGTGATTATAAGCAGGCACGGAATGTAACGTCTCTGATCAAGAGGAGGAAGGAATCCCAGCACGTCGCGGAGGCGCGCGCAATCATCTAGGACGCGGTATTTCCTAAGGTGCCAGATACTGTCAGCTCAGTCTCCATCAATATCTCGACTAGACACACTTCTCAATCTCGTCATCGGTCCCCTCGAGCGGTGTTCGCTCAAACACAATGAGTCCAGGGGACCCCGGCCCCTCTGGCTTCTTGAATGCCGGTATTGAGAACACGTTCTCTGAAACCCAGTACCCTGAAGCCGGCACATCTAACTTGCGCTCAATCCATACCGCAGTCTTGTCGTTCTCGGTATTCATGGACACCCAGAGGCACCAGTCGTCAAGCTCATCTCCAGGCTCCAGCCGCGCCTTCAGTCTGTCGAGCACAGCTTTACGGAAAGAGCCAGGCGCCCAACGCTTCTCATTCTCTTCGCGGTTCTGTACGCAACGATGAGTGACCATCTCGCTGGACGGACTGGTGAGGAACATACCTCCTGCAATCTCCTCGTAAGAGCCTCGTCTGTTAACGGACTTTGGAACTGTTTTGACCGCCTCCTCTTCGCTCGCCGCACCTGCGCCTCCCCTATGTCCGGCGGCATCGAGATCCTCCTCTTCTTCCCCAGCTCCTTCCCTCCCTCGCCTGCCCCCAAGCCTAAGCTCTTGATCGAGCTCCCGCTGAAGCTGGTCTGTAGCTCCGACTTGTGCACGCGGGTCTTGTACGCCTCGCTCCGCCTGATCGCCTCCTCCCACTCATGCTGCGCCTCCATCCGTGCCCGCCAGCGCGACCAGCACGAGCGCACGAGCGTGCTAGTGCGCAGGAACCTGGTTGCTTTGGTATCAAGGTCCGCTTGCGTCTCCTTCGCTTTGCCCTTGCCGTTCGCGCTGACTGAAGTTGAGGCTTTGGTTGGGGAGGGCGCGGAGTTGGAGATGCCGTTAGTCTGGATTTCGAGCACGGGCTTCAGGGCTGGGGGCGTCGTGGGCTTCGGCAGGGGAGGGCGCATTGTCGAGGTCGAAGGTTCTGAGGAGGGGACAGACTCGGCGATGTGAGACCGATACAAAGGTGACGGGCCTCCGCTTGCGGCAGGGGCAGTCTTGCCCGGGGTGGGCGTAGTGAGGTGTATGGGACTAAGAATTTCAGACGCGCTCGGGGTCGTCGGTAGCGTGAGCGAGGGGAAGTGCAGGAGCGATCTCTTGCGCGAGAGCGCGACATCCGACTGCTCTCCCAGTGATTGAGGTTGGGAATCCGGGTCGAACCACCTCGCGGTGGGGGTAGGGGGAAGGGCGATGTGGGGCGCCCTGCCGAGGGACGGGGGTCCCGCGGTGGGCGAAATTGGCGTGCGCGGCTCGGGCGCATTGCCTGGGGTTGGGGTGAATGTCATGCGGTCTTCCCTGAGCCGCGAGAAGGGAGACGATGAGCCCGGGAGGTCCCATAGCGACTTACGCCTTTCGGTGAAGCTGCGGGCAGGCGTTTGGGTTTGGTCGGGTAGGGACTGCTCAGGGGCGACGGGGGAGGAGGGCTCTGTTGGTACATCTGGTGGTATTGGCGGCAACGACTGCACAGGTGGTGATGTTGTTTGCGGTTGATGTGTAGGAAATAAAGGGATACTGAAGATGCTGCCGGATGGCTTCGCTGGCTCGCCCGCGGGGACAGCCGGAGTGGCAGGGAAGAGGTTCGTAGAGAAGATGGAAGATGGTTTCTCTACGACCGGTGCAGGCTGGGGAGGGGCAAAGCTCGACGATGCAACCCCCGAGCTGACCTGAGGCGGGACGAATGATGGGACAGAGGGATTGAGAGGGGCGCTCGCATTCCGGGGAGGGGTCCGTTCTGCGGCTTGAGGGGTGGTGTTCTGACTGGGGGCGGTGAACTGCCCCCCAAGATTCGGGGCCTCGGTCGCCCAAGTAGGCTGAGACGTCAGGGGAGGTGCAGCGCTCGCCCCGAAAACCGACTTTGGTGCGCTCCCGCCCCCGAAGATGGACCCTGGAGCAGGCGGTGTACCGGTAGGCACCGGGCCAAACGTCGTGCCTCCAAATACACTAGACTTAGTCGCGAGGTTCCCGAACGCCGACCCCGACAGCGATGGGGCGCTCGCCGACGTGGAAAATGCAGAGCCAGGCGAGCCAAACCCTGACGTAGTGCCAAAGGTGTTTGAAGTGGGCTTCGACGTTGCGAGCCCAGTGAATGCAGACGTGCCGGAGGACGAAGAGCCCACTGGGGCCGAGACGGAAGAGAAAACGTTTGTCGAAGGGCCTGCGGTCGGCGCCGGAGGTTGTGCACCGAAATTATTCGTCAGCCATTCGGTCGCGCTCTTCGTGACAGGGGGGACTGCATAGGCAGAAGGGGCAGGGACTGGTTGTTCGTCTTGCTCAGGCTCCTCATCCATGTCCGTAATTTCCTCCGTGGCTGACGCAGCGTCCTCGATGTACGCATGTCCTTCGTCGGCGGTCTCGAGCTGAGTATCATCGAGTGGCCTCGAGATGCCGTCGATGATCTCCGCAAGGGTGAGGTCCCCGCGGATGGCCTCAATGTCCTCTATCGTGTCCTTGCCAAATAGCCGCTCCATGATGCACGCAACGAGGTAGATCATCGCGACATTGTTTTGCTCCCGCAGTACCGCCGCGAGCTGTCCGAAGATGTGCATCGCTTCCTCATCCACGACGAGTCGTGAGGTCTTGGAGATCGGGGCGCTCTTTGCTTGGACGCGCAGGCGGAACTGCGTGGTGAGGTTGAAAACAGGATGGTTCCGGATCTCGTCAGGGATATCCTCGTGCCGCTCTCTCTGGTCGCGGATGTGGATGAGGCGGTGATACACGCGCATCTCGAGTTCAGTGGGGGATTGGTAGCGGCCCCGCTGGTCGTCGTAAAACTCCTTGAGACTCTGCAGCGCTGCAGGCATTTAGCGTCAGGGAGGACAGACGCTGCGATAACGCGAGTGGACATACTGAACATGAGTTGCTGTTCTTCGAGATGTAGGACGAACTTGGGGTTGTCTCGTTCGAGGTGAAGAGCGAGAATGTGGTAGCGGGCGCAGCGGTCGTGGCATTCGATCGCTATTGGACCCGTTTCATGTTGCATAGTGAAGTCGGCCCTAACAGCGCGCGAGCGGTCTCGTATGAAATCATGCGTTTCAGAGAATCCTTCTCGCATGAGAAGGTCGTGGAACAGGTAGTCAAGTGTTTTCTGGCTTTCGTGTCAGATCTCGTGCAACAGTCTCATGAGGGAAAGTAAACCTTCAACACCGGGGGTGGACGAAGATCCGAGGGAAGCGTCTTGTCGCCTGCCGCGCGCTCGTAAATCTTGACCGCGCGTCTGTGGTCTACACGCTTCGTGCCAGGTATCTTCGAGAGTATTAGTTCCGTATTGACAAAACCGAGGTGGCTTGTATTCAGAGGTCGAGTGGAATCATTCGAGCTCAAAACCATATTCCATTGCTTGGATCCGTGGGCCGTGTCCACCCAATCCGAACAGAGGTCAACTAAGAAAGCGTAGCATCAGACCTTCACAACACGGCGAGGAGATCGACACGCACCTGAATTGACCCAGCTCGACCTCCAAACCTTCAGCAGCCCCGGAGACAGCAAAACATGAACGACTATACACGTACGGTTTCCCACTTGTCCAGGTTGTTCTCGCGCTCTCTTCGGTACCGCTCGAACCTGGGGCACATGTCCATACACGTCCCGACCATGGTAATTGCGTCCTCCAGTCGCTTGGGTACGTTCGGATCGTCCATCTTCCCCTCCACGATCGCCTTCTTCCTTTCGATCTCACGCTGTCTCACCAGCTGCTGAAGGTGGTTAGACACGACGCGTCCGCTTCGCGGCTCCATACGCACCTCTTTGTAAAAAGCTTCCCGATCTTCGATGTGCTCCGGCTCCTCGATCTGAGGAAGTTCATCCTCATACGCACTCTCTGCACCGCTAACGCCTTCATCCTCCGTCGCACTGGCACCCTCGTCGTAGACGTCGGTGGGCACGGTCAAATGTGTACCGTGATGCGCGGGGGCGTGGCCGCGCCCACGACCTCTGCGACGTTGACTACCGCGCTCCCATCGCTCGCTGTCGGTGGCGTGTCCATTCTGGGAGTCAACTTGTCCTGCGACCCACTTCTTGTTTCTAGAGTGGGGTCGTCCACGGCTGGCGTCGGAGGCACCTTGTATGCGCATCATGACAGAGTATGTGGACCTTAGCAATCGTGCCTCAGTAGCTGATAGATGCGTCACAAGTCCACAGCCCGGTGAAGATGTAGGAGTTGAAGCAGAGCACAACGGAGAGACCGCCGCGGTCGCGGTCGAGGGAAAGGTACAGAAGCGCTCTCCACGCGCGAGGGTATTGCCCCATTTGGAAAGTGAGGATGCTGAGTCAGCAAGCGACACTACTCTGGGCGTCTCCTTCGCTTACGGACTTTACGCTACCCGTTGACGACCACGACGACCACGACGCTTTCCGCGACGGCGACACCGCTCGTTTCTGTATTATTGTCTACCCTTGTTACCTCTATTTAACTGCGCAGTGTCTGCGCGCATATACCCTGGCGTCGCGCTCGCACCCAACCGCAGACGCTCATGCATTCGGAGTCCGGAGACCCTGTTCCTCGAGATCTAGGTACGCCAAGTACTTCAGAATTACTTGTTACGGTCCATCGCGAAGCATACTTTCCAAATCTACGTTGGCGACTGTCCGAGGGAGCTTCGCGCGCATGTTCCAATAGGCGTGCTTGCCAACCCGTCCTCAGGGTCGCATTCGTACCGTGCGGACCCGGAAAACCCTCCCCAAGGAAATGGACAGGATGCAGGCCAGGATTATACGCTATCCTTTGTTTTTGTACGGATAAAATGTCTTTCTGACCGGCTTCCCTTCATCTCCTCTATGGAGTTCAAGGCAGTTTGTCCATCGTAGTTGAACCGCCCACCTTGCATGCATGCGCTCCGGAACTCATCAATCGCTTTTCACGCCAGTTGCTATATTCCATGCATCATTCCACAGAACACAAGGCAATATCATCGACTGGTCCCTCAAAGCAAGTGACGGTACGTCCTTAGAGCATCAACCCACCCGTAGTATGGACAAGTTGCTCATAGTCATGACAGATTTGGATCTTACGCATGTCGAGTTTAGTTCCCTGCCGAGCGGGCTACACCTCATAGAGCGGGATGTAATGTGAATTGGATCCCCGTACGCGCTCTCCATGTCTACTCATGACAGAGATTTCTGCTTCCTACAGATACTTCACGAAGGATGATTACCAAGGCGTATGCGTCTTCCGACGACGACAAACATCTGAACACGGCCATAGAGGCTTCCGCCTTTCCTCGCTGGGCATTCTCCTAGCCAAGTCCCCTCGAGCACGCCCATGGCGGCATGTAGCCGCCCTTAAGCGGCTTGTGAACTCTATCTATACTGCGCTCGACGATAGAGACACGATGGAGCCTACAGACGAGGATTGGGATCCCGCGCGCGAGTTTTTCGAGCAGCGCAAGGTGCGTCAGACCCTAGACGACAGCAGTGCAAGCACGAGTTCCAGCACTGGAAGCAACTGGCGAGGATGGGCCGCTGAGCTGGACGGGTCTCGGTCCGACTCTGCTCCCACCGTACACCTTCCTCACCTCCTCCGCATCCTTGGGCCCTCTTCTCTCACGTTATACAAGCATATACTCGGCCGACGACGTGTCCTTATCATCACTTTGCCCCCTGTTGAAGCCGCCTGCATTCTCTGCCAAGTCGCGGCTGATACGTGCTACGAAGAGCAAGTGAGCGAACTAGTCTCGACGATAGATCCAAGTGAGAACGAGGAGAGTGAGCCACGACGGTTGAAGGGCAAGAGCACCTCTGGCATCAAAGTTCTCGGCATGGTCACCCTCAATGATCTGGACAAGCTCGCGTTTGAGAGCAAGTCAGGCCGCGGTTGGATCGCGTGTACGACAGACTCTATCTTCCTCGACAAACCGTCATACTATGACCTCCTTATTGACCTACGTTCCGCCACGCCCAACACCCGGCCGGCATTCTACGTTGCGAAACCCGTCGACCAGCTCAACGGCCGAGGCCCCACCCACCGCCTCTCCAGCGTCCGCTTCACTTGGAGCGATGTCAGACTCGTACGTTCTCTTCACATCATCCCATCACTGCACACACGCTCACAGGCGAATCCCTAATCAATCAATCACCCTCGACGCAAAGTGGACCGAGCTCGACCGCCTCCTCCAGCTCGACTCCGAAAACGGCCACGACCTCTGCTGCGACCCCTCCCAGCACATCGGCAAGCCACGCAGCAGCACCAGCTCCACCTGGACCGATGTCTGGCGCGTCTACGAGGACGTGTGCGTCATGTGCGCCGGCCTCTGGATGGGCGCGTGGCGCAATGGCAACTTGGGCCCGTCCTATCCTGGCACTACCCCGCGTCGCTCGGCGAATTGGGGCACGGGCACGGGGAGCATCCGCCTGGAGGGCGACGACGAGCTCAACGCGCGCACACGCTCCGCCCCGTCCGTTCGTACGCTTGGCATGGGCATCGAGGGCCGGCCGTCGGGGAGCGGGAGCACGCTCAACGCGGGGAGGACGTCTCGCATGATGAGGAGGGCGAGCACAATGTCCGCGTGGACGTGGACGGGCATCAAGGGTGCGAACAACGCGAGCGACAACGACAATGATAACGATGCTACCGACACGCAGCCCGCGACGGAGGACGTTCCGGCGATGTTCATACCTGGAGAGCGCAGCAACCTTCCGGAGCGCGCCACCCCGGCGGACGCAGCCACAAGCGCGACGAGGGACAGGCAGGTGCTCACGACGCTCGCGCTGCTCGACACGTTTCATGCGCATACGACGGCGATATTGTCAAGGCTCGCGACGTTGCTCGAGACGCGTAAGCAGTGCAGCCCCTCGTCTTCGTCACGGAGGGAGCGGATAGTATTGGGAGGCGGGGAAGGTGTCCGAGAGGGCGGGGCAGTGATGCTGACGCCGAAGGATGTGATCTCATTCGAGCTCGGGCCGTTCAGCGGGTTAGATGCGCGGTTTGTGGAATGGCTGGGGGAGGAGTACGGGGGTGGGGTACGGGTGCTCGTCAAACGCGGGTGGAAGGATTTGGTTGGTCTCGTCTTCGGACTTGGTTGATGAGCCAGGTTCTACGTGGATGAGGGCGAGGCTCGGTTGTTATCTTAAGTATGAGGATGGCGGTCTAGTTCGCTACATTATTGATACCCTTCATTACTTCCATGCACATGTGCAGGTCTCGACGTGTACGACGTCTCAACGGGCCTACTGCACTACAGCTGCGATCTCTCCCCTCTGATACGGTCTCCCCATCGATGGCACTTTGCCGCGTGGACAAGCTGCTTCTGTTCCCTCGAGACTGAGCAGTCTTGACCACAATCAAGAATATTAGTCAACACATGAAAAAACAGTTCATCGTCTGCGCAAAATAGGCTTCGTCTAACCACAACGAGTTGGCACCAGTCTTGGGTTGGAAGTCTATCAGATTATGATTAGCATCGGCTACACCTGGGACGGACTCTTCTGACCCTTCAAAGATGACTATACTGAGGGCGCGGGAGTGTCGAGGGTAAATCAAACTAATGTGCTGAAGTTACTTGGTCCATCGCCTGATAGAATGTCCTTCACCGACCTTACGGCATCGACTGATTATGCGAAGGGACCACGCATGATGAACAGAATACCAAAGATGAGAAGGAGTTATCATCGCAGAAATTACAAGAGCTGGACACAGGTACGCTATCTGATGCGGGTGGGACCAGGAAGACAGAGCTTTCCACGTAAACAGCCACCATCCAGGCAGGACCGTTTCAGGAACCAGTGTGGGCACGGACTGGCTGCTCATCCACTTCGCGAATGGCGGGCATTGCAGTCTGCGTCGTGAGACGAGCCTTCTTGGCCTTCTTGAAGGGGTTGGGGGGTTCGTATTCTGCAAGTTGGTTGTCCACCTTATCGTCAAGGGGCCAGGCATAAGAAGAATCGTCCAAATACGTCTTAAACATATCCAGTACGGCGCTATGGCTGTCGAGCATCTCCGATTGCTTGAACGTCTCCTGGCTGGGCTTTCTGGGTTGGGCGGATGACGTCGCGACGGATTTCCATTTGTTTCCCGACGGCTTCCTATGGTCATGAGCAATAGCAGCAGGTGGTCGTATCTTTCGGCGTCCTGTGCTAGGTGACTGCGAGTCGGAAGATATAATGGACGCTAGCGAAGGCAGTGGGGGTGTAGTGTTCGCTACTTCCGCCTGAGAAACCACCCTGGCCATGCGAGCTTCCCACTCCTCGACCGCGTAACGAGCTTGAAAGAGGCTGAGCAGGTCGGCGAGCAAGTCGCGGAGAGGATGACGAGGCTGCCCATCGCCTTCGAGTGGCTGCTTATCCCCATCGAGCGTCTCTGAGCCAACCAGAAAGGCAATGTCAATATCACCGTGACAGAGCCTCGCCTCCTTGATCGTGGAGACCTTAGTCTTGCTGCACGTATACCGGTTGTCCCCTTGGTGAATAGCCCCGTCAAAGTAGTCCTCCACGAAGCTGTGGACCGCCAGCGGATCGCAGTTGCTACGTACATAGCATACGGCGAGGAAGACGATGACGTGAAGGAAGGATTCGAGTTCGTCAGGGATACCAAGTGGACGATGAGGATGTGCGAGAGAGCGGATGGACATGAAGTACCAGGTGCCCTGATGCGACATGAGTCAACGGACGACCTAGACAGATTTGGCAACGTACAGTTCGATGTGGCTGACGAGCCTTGGGCTTCTCACCACCCCTGGGAAAGCGTTTGGACAGTTCCCAATCGCTCAGAACTCCCTTCCAGAGACTCCATCCAGACTTGATCGTGGGCAGGATCAAGATATTCCCGGCGCTGACATCGCGGTGTAGTATACCGCATTTCTCGTATGCGTCTCCGTGGGCTGCGTCGGAAAGGCGTTAAAGCACCGCCTGAGCAGATGAAGTCGGATGCTTACCTTGAATGCAATCTAGAATGATGCGAGCCAGCTGTTCTCCGTACCTGAAGGCCGTCACGTCCAGACAGACCTCAGTCACTACTATTCTATAATGCTGCATATGACGCAAGCCAACGCCATCACAAACTTCCGCTTCCTCCCGAACGCGTTTCGTGCCTTTGCCACCCCGGTTGTCCTGAGGCTTCTGAGGCTCGCTGGTTTTTCCGCGTCGTGGCTTGCTTGACGTTGGCCTGGCCTCACCCGCAGAAACTGTACCCTTCGCCCTCGAGGAGAGGGGTGCTATCGGTCGCCCGCTTGCATTCACCTCTGCGTCGTCATCATCAGGACGGCCGGCGTCGGAGCGCTTGTGACCAGTGATCGGCGAATACTCCGACGTCTCCGTCTCTTGCTGCCCAACGGGGCCATGACAGATGAGAGTAGGGACACAGGAGACCCCGGCGTCGTTGAGCTTCTGAAGCATGTCGCCCTCGTATTCGAGGTCCACATAATGTGGCCTCCACGCATCCTTCAGGAAGACAAAGCGCTGAGTCTCCCACTCCACAGCGACGTACCCACGCGTGCCGCGACCAATCAGACCGGAGGGGTCCGTGATCGGCTTCCCAATCAGGTAGACCCGTCGATCGACGGCGACCTTGTAGCGAGGCCAGCCCTTGGGCAACGACTTGCGGAAGAGCGTGCGGACGTATTTAAACACAGGGCGTATGTCCGAGTCGGAGCGTTGCGGGTCGGGTGGGTGATCGGTCTGGTGATTGCACGTCGCAGTGGGGTCGTCGTGCAGTAGCCTACGTTCGAAGAGAGGAGATCTTCCAGGATCGTCAGCGGGGCCAAGGAAATCGTTGGGCATGGTGGACGGATCGATCTCTCCCTCCGTCTCGTTAACGTCGTGGAGATGTGCGAAAGACAGGGCATCCATCCGCTTCCAACCACACGAGTCCTTCGACAAAGGAACCGCCGTGGTGTCGACGCCCTGTTGTTCCGGACTCGTCTTCGAGAATGCGTAGAGGAACTGGAGGAGTCGCTTTGTGTCTTCCGCTGTCTCGACGTAATTCAGAGCTTCGGTGACGATGCAGCCGGAACGATCCCATCGGATAACGCGGAACTCGAGGCCGTTCACGAAGATCATGAACAGCGCGGTACGGTGTTGGTATGTGAAGACGCGTTCGGCATACGACATCAGCTGTCCCCTCACAAGGCGACGACTCTCCGCCTCGTTCTCTAATGTCTTGCCTGGATGATCGTCGAAGGCATCGAGGCTAGTACCTCCGCGCTTAAATTCGACGGAAAGCCGCTGCAGAGCCCAGTTCGGGACATCAGGCACTATGGAGTCCTTGTCGGCGTCCGAGATGAAGGAACCATCGATCTTGTACCGTTTATCGTCCGTCCCTTCAGAATTGTCCTCTGACAGGTTCAAGACGTGTCCAGGACAGAGACGGTGGTCCTTATCTATCTGTGCCTGTGATCGTCCAACGATGTTAACCTTGACTCGTTGAGCCACCGAGAACGACGTATCACGTACCCATGCCATCGAGATCATCTTCTCAGCCTTGACCTTAGACCCTTTCTTGGGCGCGGTCTCAGGCGCGGTCTCAGGCGCATTCTCAGGCGCGGTCTCTTGCTTTCGTGCACCTGGAGCTGTGTAGGCAGTCTTCAACGCAGTGGATATCTCGGCAATCTTCTCCTCGGGGAAGGCTTCATCGAACCCTTCGAGAGAAGGGAGGTAGGTCTTCATCAGTCGCTCGAAGTGGAGAAACACGGTGGTGTTCCGGCCGTCGGACATCATATGATCCCTGTCTGTGGTCGCGGACGAACGAACGGATAATCCAGGAATACGGTTATGGTCTCTGGTACGATTATGACGTAGGTTGGGAGGGGAAGAGTTGACACTAGGATTAGGGCGAAGTGAGTGAGGGGCCATTATGGATCGAGTAAGAGATAAGCCACCTGAAGCAGAGCAGGAGAAGAGGGCATTTGTACTCTGATCAGCGGGGATCCGAACGTCCTGCCCAAGGCCGTGAGGCGAAGCTGGCTGCGTCCAGATTCAGCCACGGTGATCAGACACTAAAGACAAGGATGCAATCGATAAGTCCACATATCCGATATGACGAACTATGATAGCTACCGTTTTATCTTGACTGACTCGACGTGAGATGAATAGTCAGACAGGACGACTCGCCACCGAAATGTACTTGGTTCGATTGCCTTATATGGGTGATCTACCCGGCACGTTCCGGCAAGGGCCTGGGCGAGGCTAAACTTACGGTGATCTCTGACATCTCTGCCCACCGCTCCCGCATAAGATAGACTTTCTGCTGGAGCTGACATTCATACTAGTACTACAGCGGAACCCAGCTGGTTCAGAAATGAGCGGTCTTTGATCGCTAGCACGCGTCTAAGGCGAGCGGCTTCCACGCAACGGCTTCGCCTACGTTGACTCCAGCTAAAAAGCCTCTCAGAGTCGTGTCGTGGTATGGCTCAGTTAATCGTAGAAGTTCAACCTATCTATGATCGAGCAAACATTTCGAATAGTATGGTCTCCAGGCTCCTCGACCCTTGACGATTCGTTCGGCGACTAACGTACAGAGTGCGGACTTGTCATTCAAGAAGGCCGAGAAGGCTTGTCTGACAGTGCAGTCCCCAAAGCCCCCCGCTAGGGAAGTCGACGATCCAGTACGTGTATCGGACAATGTGCATATGCTTAGTTCCTATACATTTCTGCAACGACAAAAACTTGGTAGATCCCGGCGGACGCAATAGAGCAATGCACTTCAGGTTTCCGTGCTCGACGTTTCGTAAGCAATGTCTATTATCCGTAAGTTGCACTCGCATACAGTTCCAGATATAAGAGTCATATATGTGCTGGAGAGATCGTGAGTTCCTGTGAAATGGGAGAACAGTTCCCTGTATTGGCACGCACTCACCCTTGCACTACCAGTCTTCAGTGGTCCAGGTCGAGAAGGCCTGTCGATATTTTCACATATAATCAATGCCGGGCACAATGGTATGTTTGCTTTTCTTTGTCCGAGAGGACTCAAAAAGGAATGAAGTACGGGGGTGGACGACCTTTCGGCCCAGCCTGAGGGCGTCTAATCTGCGGACTATGAAAACGACATATGTAGCCAGTATGGATGTCGCGCAATATTCTCTTTCTTCTAAAAGACTCGCAAACACCTCGATGTCAGCAACCTAGTATGCCACCTAGCAACCACCTACTCACAGCAAAGTGGGTATTGATGCAGTGCGGCGGTCTGTTCTGGGTGGACACCGATCATCCAGAAAAGGCAATCGAACCAAGCACTACATCTCGCGAATGGTGATGGCTCCATGACTCATACTTACCACGTCAAGTCAGTCAAGACAAAGCAGTAGCTACCATTGTTCCCGTATTTGGGTTTGTGGTTCCAGCAACTATCCCGTTTGTCTCTCAATACTGATCATCTTGGGTGCCACCAATGACAGCTTCGCCACGCGGCCTCGACCTAACCACCGCATCTCTGCCAGTACAAATACCCTCTACTCCCACGCCATCAGGTAAATCATCCCTTCCTTGAACCATCTGCATCATACATACCTCCTCACTAGGCCTCGCTCACGCCACCCCAATTTCGATATCAACTCTTCGCCTCCTAACCTACGCATCAACCGCGCTAGAGACCACAACTGTCTCCCTGGACTAGTCTTTCATCTGTTCGCAACCGCAACCAAAGACAATGATGGCGGACGTCCGGCGCACCACTTTTTTCTTGCGTTTTGAGCGACTGATGAAGACCTACCTCCCTTCCATCGATGGGTTCAATGAAGCCTTCTCCGAGGAGAATATGGCTGAGATCTCGTCTGTTTTGAAGAATGCGTGTGCACCTCCCGCCGCTGGTAGAAAAGGGAGCACGACAGATATGAGGGGGGAGGAGATTGTCTCGGCGGCATGGGTAAGTCATTCTCAGTGGTATGACGAGTCAAGGCTAACACCGTCGGGCAATCATAGGCAAGGATGGATAAGAAGCACAATCTTTGTCCGGGACACGTGTTGAATCTGTCAGAAGACAAATCCCAAGGAACGGACAAATTGCGGTACAAGATCGACGGCTCCTTCATCTCGGACGTCGACAAGGGCACTATCGTGCCTGGTGCCACGAACTGGGCTTTGCAGCGATTACCTGTCGAGTTCAAGCGCGGGGGCATGCACCTCGATGCCTTTGAGGATCGGTCAGGCAAGGATACGAAGGACGAGGAGGAGATGGAGGATGAGGAGGAGAAGGGGGACGAGGCAGAGACTCGTCGCTTTGTGAGGGGACAGCTGATGTCTCATGCCGAACGCGTCTTCACATATCAACACCGTACCGCGCTGTTCATGATCTTCGTGAATGGCCCCGAGTTCCGCGTTATCCGATGGGACCGTTCCGGCTGCATCGTCACCGAGGCTCTGAACTACGTCGAGACACTCGAACACACAAAGCGACTCCTTCACTTCCTCTACGCCTTCTCGAAAATGACACCGGAACAACAGGGCGTCGACACCACGGCGGTTCCTTTGTCGAAGGACTCGTGTGGTTGGAAGCGGATGGATGCCCTGTCTTTCGCCCATCGCCACGACGTCAAAGAGCTGGAGCGAAAGATCACTGCCATTCCCAGCGATTTCCTTGGCCCTGCTGACGATCCTGGGAAATCTCCTCTCTTCGAGCATGGCCTACTGCACGACGACCCTGCTGCGACGTGCAATTACCAGACTGATCACCCACCCCGCCCGAGATGCTCCGAGATACGGCCTGTGTTTGAATACGTCCGTACGCTCTTCCAACAGTCGGTGCCCAAGGGTTGGCCTCGCTACAAGGTGACCGTCGATGGACGGGTCTACCTGATCGGCAAGTCCATCACCCCCTCTTCCGGTCTGTTCGGTCGTGGCACGCGTGGGTACATTGCTCTGGAGTGGGAGACTCAACGCTTCGTCTTTTTGAAGGATACGTGGAGACCACATTATGTGGACCTTGAGCACGAGGGCGATATGCTCCAGAAGCTGAACACAGCGAAAGTTAGCTGTGTTCCTACTCTCGTCTGTCATGGCGCTGTCGGACAGCAGAAGACGGAGGCGTCGGAGTATTCGCCGATCACTGGCCACAAGAAGCCCGACGTGCAGGGGTCTGAGGCTCCTCACGACGAGGTGAAGGCCCCGGAACGAGACAAATCGAAGCGACACATTGCCAGCCTTCCCTCGAGGGCGAGGGGCTCGGACTCGGTTGTCAGGACTAAGTCATCCGTTAGCGAACCACGCCGCGGTGGCGCTAGCGAGCCTCTAAGGCCCAGCGACCAACGCGATGACAAGGCCGCTAGCGATGCCCAGAGGCCTGGAGACAAACGCGACGACAGAGGCACGAAACGGCCCCGCCTGGCTACGTCGGAAACGGATGCCTGCGACGGTGTCGGTTTGCCTCCCATGCAACATTATAGGATAGTGGTTGCGGAAGTCTGCTTGGAAGTGACGTCTTTCCTGTACGGACAACAGCTGGCTCGCGTCATAATGCACTGCATCATTGGTGAGCAAACAGCTTCGTCCGTGTGATGGGTAGTTCTCATACCTATCGATATAGCCCACTGGCAAGCTGTGGAAAGTTGCCATATACTGCACGGTGATGTCAGCGCAGGTAATATCTTGATCCTACCCACTATTAAGTCTGGGTGGATCTATTGGACTGGGATCCTGAGCGATTGGGAGCTCTCCAAGTTCCTTCCCGGGGACGAGGAAAAGCTCAAGGCTGGTCAAACACGTCGGGTGGTACGTTATCAGTCTTATCCAGGTGATCCACTGGCTCATGTCAAACCAGGGCACCTGGTACTTCATGTCCATTCGCTCTGTCGCGTATCCTCATCGTCCCCTTGGTATTCCTGATGAGCTCGAATCCTTCCTCCACGTCATCATCTTCCTCGCCATACGCTTCATACGCAGCAATTGCACTTTGTCGGTGGTCCATAGCTTCATCAATGACTACTTTGACGGGGTGACTAATCAAGGGAGAAACCGGTATACGTGTAGTGAGACTAAGATCTCCACGATCAAGCAGGCAAGGCTCCGTCACGGCAATGTCAAAATCGCCTTTATGGGCGGCGCAGAAAGGCTCGGTAAAGACGACCAGCCACTCGAGGGCGATGGGCACCCTCATCATCCTCTCCGCGACCTGCTCGCCGACCTGCTTAAGCTCTTTCAAGCTCGTTACGCGGTCGAGGAGTGGGAGGCTCGCTCGGCCCAAGTGGCTCGGGCGAAACAGACGGCCACGGCATCTCCGCTACCTTCGCTACTACCGACAGTTGCATCGCGAGATGGAGACTATCAACGACCGCCTAGCGAAATCCAGGCCCTGAACATCAAGCGATCGGGCGCCCGCAAGGCCAAAAAGGCCAACGTGTTGTCTGAACCCACCAAGCCAAGCGAGGAGACGTTCGAGGAAGCCGAGAAGCTCGACAGCCATGATGCTGTGCTGGAGGTGTTCGAGGACTATGTCAACAGTCCTGAAATCGTCTGGCCTCTTGACGATAAGGTTGAGGACGAACTGCAAGGGCACCAACACCCCGACCTATCTGCGAATGCCGAATGGGCTCGTTCGACTATGCAGTCCACAATGCTCCCGACTCGCAAAGTCGACGAACAGCCGATTCGTGCTCAAACTGATTCGTGAAAGGGTCCTAGCTTGTCGGGACACTCGAGGATGGTGGCTGCCTACGCGGATCGCTCTGTCTTTGTGATCCTTCTTACCTGTATCGGACAATGTACATATGCTTAGTCCCTGTGATTTTCTGCAATGAGGGAACCTTATGTGGTCACAGAGGACGCAGCAGACCAATGGGTTCAACGGTTTTCCGTGCTCAACGTGTCCAATCCAATGTCCATTGTCCGCAAAGTGCACTTGTCTACAGTGCCAGGTACAAGAGTCATATCTGTGCTGGCCGGATTGTGAAACACCTCCCTTGAGATGGGAGAACAGTTCTCCGTATCAGTGACACGCACTCATCCTCGCATTGCTAGTCCATAGTGGTCGGGATGATGTCCCGATGAAGGCCGCGTGTGAAGCCATTCGATACTTTCACATATACTTAACACCGGGGAACAATGGGATCGTTCTTTGGTCTTTGTATGAGGACTCGATATCGAATGAAGACTCAGAAGCGTCGATTTGGCACTGAGTACTGAGTCACAACCGGAGCGGGTAGTAGCAGGATTCTGCCGAGTCGGCACGTCCCGACCCACACGCAACGCTGCTAAGTACCTGATTGCACTGGAATTCATGGAACTCCCGACGTTGCAGAGCAAAAGGAACGCACGTCGCACACCACGCACCTTGCCTGAGGGCGACACAGCTACAGCGCTTCCGCAGGCAAGCGCCGGTAGGGAGACGCGCTCGAAAGGCGAACATTTGATACAATGACCGAAACACGGCGCCGGGCCAACAACTATGGAAGAGACGACATGTAGAGGGTAGCGGGGAGAGGGTGAAGGGTAGCGAGGGTAAATGGAGGGGACTATCATCGAAGGGCAAACGGACATGGTCATCAGGCGGCGAGCGGGCGGACATTGGGGGTCATCAAGCGGCTGAGCGAGCGGATATCGACGCGTTCGTAAACATGACAACGTGGGAAAACACACGGGGAACGTGACAGGAAACGTGGATGCCGAGTCGAGAGAGGGCGGCGTGCGGGACGTGAGAGAGACGGAGGGCGACGGGGTCGTGGCGTAGAAACACACAAGGTTTAGGGCAGTACAATATAGTGTATGAGGTGTATGGGTGTGTGTGAGTCGAACAACATTGCTTGACGAGAGGATTGAGAGATGCATGAGGACGTGAACGTGAACGAGAATGTGAACAAGGACAGGGGAACCTTGAAGTAACAAACGACAGGCACAAGAGCGAGACCAGATGGGACCGGGCAGAGTAGCATAGCGAAATGTATCGGGGATCAGGGGTGGCTGGGGGTCGAGGTGTCAGGCGGCGGCGAAGTCGCTGAAGTAGGGGTGGATAAGGGCACGCTTGGCTGCAAATTAGGGGTCAGCATGACATGGAGAACGATCGTCTAGGACACCGAACTCACCGGAGATACGCTTGGCGGTGTCGTACGTCAACATCAGCTACAGAGATCGGTCAGCAAGGGCAAGTCGAGACGGGGACGCAGAAAGCGTACCTTCAAGAGGTCGATGCCCTCGCTGTCTAATGTCGTAACGTGCTCGCGGAGGTCCTGCGCTGACCAATGCGGGAACGACGGTTTGTAGTCCGGCAGCTGGTGAACCCCCGGCCAGATCTCTTCGTTAGGTGTGCCAAGTACCCTAGAAGATGACGGAGATTAGACAAACCCACTAGCCACCCGCAAACGACCGACCTGAAGATCTTGAAGATCTGGTCAATCTCCGAGTCACCGGGGAAGAGCGGATGGCCGCGCATGCACATCTCGGCGAATATGCACCCAACGGACCACATGTCGATAGCCGTGGAGTAGTGTCGCGAGCCGAGCAGGACCTCGGGAGCGCGGTACCACAACGTGACGACCTGTGGAACGAAGTTCCTGACATTGAGCACGCAACTCAAAACACGACTACAATGACAGCACACGGACGTACTTCGTGAGTGTATGTCCTCATTGGGATACCGAAGGCGCGTGCGAGACCGAAGTCGGCGAGCTTGAGGTTGTCGTCCTTATCGATCAGCAGGTTTTGGGGCTTGAGGTCGCGGTGGAGGATGCGATGGGAATGGCAATAGAGCAGGCCTGATGTGAGTTGATGCGTAAATTTCTGCGGGCGGCCTGCTGTCAGCGCTCACGCCTCTGGGAGGGGAATAGCGGGGAAGTAACAATGTATCTACTAGCTCTGAACTCCGTGGGGTGGATGAGGCAGTACCGTAAGATAGCGCGCCATAACTCTCAAGCCCATGCGCTGAGCATATGGTGTAAACGCAAGTCGGGCTGTCGGGCGGCATCATGCATGGCGTGAGAAGGGACTCCCACCAACGGCAGAGCTTGATACTACAACCGAGGCCTCAGTATCGTAACCGGCGCAGGCCTGGGAGCATGCGCGGTAGTTGCGATGACCTCGGTGTGTGGATGTCGTTGTCCCGTGCTGTAGACTCCGCCCTTGTCGGTGACCCCTGCCCAAGTCACCTCGTGGGGGCCCAACGACGCAATCACGTGATATACGTGATATATACACAGTTGGCGCAGCGAACGCGTTGCGACGCGACGAAAGGGTTAAACACGCGTTTGACACGCGTCGATGTGAAGTGACAGAATTTTTTGTGCCCTTACGCGTCTCTGGATGGAGAGGGATGGGGCTTCGCACGCACCTTGACAATGTCCGGGGTGATGGGACGGCCAGACTTGTTGCCGTTCTCCATGTATCTCTTCAAGTCGACATCGAGGAACTCGAAGACAAGGTAGAGCTTCTGATCGGCGTGGACGATGTCGAGGAGCCTGTGTGATACCGAGACAAGACGCCGTCAGCGATCGAACGATCGAGGCGGATATAGAGGACAAGAGCACGTCTGGAAGACGCAGACAATAGCGGAGGGCCCCGAGAAGATGGCACGAGAAGAGCTCACGAGTGGAATGACCACTCACCGAACCACGTTGTCGTCCTTAAGCTCTTTGAGAAGGCTGATTTCCCGGATGGCCGTACTGGGAACACCTTCGTCTTCGGCTTCCAATCTAATCTTCTTAAGCGCCACGACCCTGTTTGTGTTGATGTCCCGAGCCTTGTAAACGACTCCGTAGGTTCCTGAGCAAAATAGTGGCAGAGGGGGTGGACGTGAGGAGCGGCAGGTGAGAGGGTGGATGGGCGGTACAGCGAGCATGGTGAGCCAAAGTGCGAGCAGACAGTGGAGTACGTCATCCACTCACCCTCGCCTGACGATGCCCATCAACATCGACCAGAAGAATGACCAGGTTTGCTGCGCGGAGGCTGCGTGGAGCACTCACCAACTTTCTCAATCTTCGAGTAGCTTTGCGTCATGGTCAGTCGAGGTCTCCCGCCACAATGTTCAACCACAATCTTACCGTTCCATATCTTGACGCGGTCGTGAGGATTCTTAGTGTACCTAGACGTGTCTTGAGGTCGTAGCGTGAAGACGAGAACGTGGAGCCTGTAGTGGACGAGGAGGTCGAGACGCTGCCGGCGGGAGGAGGACGAGATGGCAGGAGACTTTATACGCGCTTATGTAAGGAAAAGTGCATGACCGGAATAGGTAATGCCATGCGGTGCGGAGGGCAACCGACGACAATTGGGGAATGTTCAAAGTCAGTCAATCGGATTAAATTCCCTGTCAACATCACGTCGACGTCCTCGGACATCGATGCGGCCGGAGAGTGGCTGCAAGGACCGAGCCCATTAGAAGATGTGGCCGAATTCCGCTGTCCTATTCCCGCTCTCTGTGCATTTTTGTGGCGGTCGACGCCATCATTACTGCCTGTGATCAATTGCGCAGATCATTCCTCCAAGCCACCGCGGATAAAAGGAAGACATGGAACATCGAGGTATTGTAGATCGGCCCTGTTCTATGACTTTACGGAATCGTAGCCTTCTTCTGGTCCGTCTCGGCTTCTTGGCATGTAGTCTGTTCGCCTCGAACCCCTCCCTAAGTCCTCGCTCTTGTTGGTATCATTCTCTGACTCACTGTAACACAAGCAGGGATGGAATCCTGAGCCAGCTGAATACTAAGTTCCTGTGGTTGCATTGCATCCCTGGAACATTGCAAACATGCCTTGATTTCGAAGCACAGGCACAGCCCACACACGCAGGTGCCTTCGCAACGTACTTACGCAGTCCCCGGCGGGAAAGGATCGCCGGCTATCATCTGGGCCTGGGATTCATGCTGAGGCTCGTTATCAGTTCGCAGACGTCGCGATCATAAATATACACCCTCTTCTGCCAAACTGACAGCGAACATGCGTATCGACGCTGACCCTCCGGTAAAATCTAGTTCTCATAGCTTGAGGACAAAGGCCATACGGTATTTTTGTCAATAAGGAGGATGCGTAATCAGCCACCAAAAGTCCGTCCCATGCCTCGACATTCTATGCTGAGCCAAACGCTTTATTTCTGGAGCCGTTTTGGCTAGCGATCGCGCGGAGCGCTGCCACTGGAGTCAGTTGAAGGAAGTGCAAGGGGCGGTCTGATTCAGCCTGCCAACGGCTCTGCATAATGATGTCCTTAGGCGGTAAAGCGGCATGCGGTAGGTACCCTGGGACTAATAGTCTCTTGAGTTCTTCTATCGGGGTGGTCAAGATCGATCACGAGCCTGAAGTGCAGGGTGGACAGGGGACTCATCGCTTGCATGTAACTACTATTCTCGGACGGCATGGAATATTCTTCAGTACCTTAGGCAAGTGTAAAGACGATCTGCTTTCCCCACTCCGTATTCACTAGACCACATTCGCATCACCGGCTATCTCCATGCATGCAAGGTGAGAGCATTACCGCAGCATGTCACACGACCTTCCTACACCTGGTGCGTTCCAGCGAGCCTCCGGTGCGTTCAGATTGAAGTAGCTATATGTGCTTACCTCTCAATCACGAGCCTCAAGGAGAAGCGGCATGCACAGACACTTCATGAGAATGTTGCCATGCACGCCCAACCCGAGGCCGTGGAGCTCGGACTCCGGAGCTTTTTCAAATTGCTGCGTGGGATGCTGCTAGTGATGGTAGAAGCGGCGCTGGCGTGGGCAATTCGGAACGCCTTACTTATACGCTACAGGTGGCTAAACGTGCGTAGTGACACGATACGAGTCTGCGCGGAGGATATGCACCTACTGTCCTGCCCTTCTACCTTCAAAGAACCTCTAACACGGATCCTCGACGGCCGAATGGGATTGTCAGCCGGGGCGAGGCCACGCCAGCCCCTGATCGGACCGCGGCCGCATGCGCGTTACGTCGATATACTGTCCATGCCATACATCCTCACCTGATCACGCAGGTCGGGAAGTCAGCGCTCCGGGTTCGTATCACCAGACAGTCAAGTGCAGGAAGGGATGGGCGGGGGAAGGGGGGATGCGAGCACAAGAAGATATGAAGAGGCGAAGAGAACACGTACTGCGGTCAATGATGTTGACATCCAGGTCGTAGTCGTCATCCTCCTCTTCTGCGGTGGGATCCCACTTGTCTGCTTGGGCGGCGGCGGGGTTCTGCTCGTGGTCGACGGCGAGGTCCTTCATAAAGCGGGAGAGCGAGTCTTCTTTCATTGCGTTGAGGGATTTATCGCGGGACTCGCGGGCACGTTGAAGTTCCGGGAGGTACTCCCTAGTCGGTATAGCGCGTGGTGATGGGTGAAGCGTAAGATGAACTGTCAGTGATGTATGGTGTTAATGCGGGTGGATTCGCCTACCTTTCGTATTCGGCGCGAGACGCGTCCACGGCTTCGAAGAACTCTTTTACCCCTGCCCCTGTCATACTGGACACACCAACCGCCTGCGAATCGAGGCTTGTGAGCTATTCCACGTGGGTCAGAAGGGTACGCTACGCACCGTCAGGTGCTTGTAAAACTCGTCTAGCACAAGACTCATACTGTTCATGAGGCTGTTCATGTACGTAGGTTCGCCCTCGTCGTCCGTCGTGCCCTGGTGTGACGCGAGAGCGGCCTGGAACGCCTCAAAGTCCTGCATCCACTCGACGGCGAAATCATGGGGCCGGACATCCGTCTTGTTGAACACAAGGATGAATGGCAATTTTGTTTTGTACAGGATACTATGGATTTGCGTGAGTAACCAGCATGCCGTTTACGGTATAGCATGGCGCCCGGGACGAGTCGTCGCCGGAGGGGACCATGTGGGTCGTTCTACGAGACGGCCAGTCCACTCACCTGCAGGCGTAGAGCATGTTTGACATGAACGTTGCTGGGGCGGTTGTGCGGGGTGTGTCGATGATGTAGGCGACAACGGTGGGCAAGGACGATGCTACGGCGTCCGTGATAATCGCCCCGGATGCAGACCACGTAAAAATCTCTATCTGCCCTGGAGTGTCCAGGATCACATAGCTACAGGAGGTGTAAGTGAGCAATTACGTCAGCCTCTGAACATGATGGATGGAAGCATACTCGACTGTGTCTGCTCGTTTCTCGACGATTTCGAGCACTTGATCGAACTTGGTCGTGAAAAGGTTGAGCGCGGTAAGGATGCCACCGTTGGGGCCGAGGTTGTACCTAGGAAGACGGTGCCGATCGGGGTCATTAACCACTCTAGATGTCCGGAGAAGAAGCACGATTGAGACACACTCCTTCATCACTTTATGGTAGTCGACCGTATCCCGGATGTCAATATTAGCCTCATATGGTGTGCTTGCGACTGCAGGATCGAGATTGAGGACGTATGGCGGCGATGGTGGGTCTTGCGAGTGCAGGTACGAGTTAATCCTCTGCACGAATGTGGATTTTCCGGCTCCCGCCATCCCAATCGTGATAATCACGGTCGGTTTCTTTTTGTCAGCAGGTGCTGAAGATGGGCCTGCTGTAAGTTTTTCCGGCTCCATATCGGCCTAGATAGTGGCACACGAGAAAGGATAGCGGCGCAAGGTTTTCTGCGCCGCTCGTAAGCCCGTGGAGACGGAAAAGGCAGGTGTCACACGTTACATCACATATGGTCACATCATATAGGCTCCGACGGAGCCGAGAGCCCTGTTCCAGACGATTATCATCTCGACACCGACCACGACGCCTACACACTTTCTGAGAGCAGCGATGGCGGCGGATAATACAAGCCTTGAGAGGTCGAACATATCAGGTACGCTGAACCAGCACTCAGCAATGAGTGTTCCTTTGCTCAGGGGATTCAAGGCCTCGTCCTGCACGTCGACGAGTTCGGCGAGCAAGCCCCCGAGTCTCTCACCTACCACAAGTCTGACTCCCGCACCGTCGTTGTCGGTCGCAAGTCGAGTCAAGGCATGTCTGACCAGCCAGACCCAGAACGTGCTCTCTTCCGCTGCCCCGTAGTAAGTCGTAAGCATGCGAAGATAACTTTCACGGAGCATGGAAATGTATGCCGTAACCCTTTCATGGCTCTTTTGAGCACTTTGCATGCTGAACACCGTTTCTTCCCTCTCCCTTCTCCCTACGCACTCTTTCCGTCGAATAAAGGTATACATCACTGATCTGCACTCCCACCACGGGACGCACATCCTGCGACCGGGAGAACTCGTGTCGACGTCCCTCAAGCCTGAGGTACCGACCGTATTGGCCGATGGCGACCAGATCACGTTCGGGAAGAGCGTCGGCCGCGATTACTTCCTCGTCCGCCCGGTGGTCGCTCGCGTAGAGATGATTTTCGGCGGGGACGCTCCTCAGCGGGCATCCTCACCCTCGCCGAGGTCGTTCGAAGCACTATACTCCATCCCCGGTCCCGACGCCGATGACTCACAGTCGCAGCCACATGAACGTGACATCGACAAGACGCCCGCACGAGCAAGCACAGGCCGCTACGGCGTGTTCCTGCCTTCTCCAGAGTCCTCATCCTCGAGCTCGGACGGTGATTCTGACATCCAAGAGATATCACCGCCGTCGTCTCCCCAGCACGACTCTGCACCGTCATTCCCTCGTCGCTTGCCTTTTGGCTCTGCCATGTCAATTCCGCTCGGTGCACGCCTCCGCCTGTTGCAGCAAATCCTGCCCCCGATCCACATCGCGGACTCTCCAGAGCCAGAGTACTACCCACCGCCTATCGAGCCGTTCTCTCTTCAGGAGATTCACGTAGAAGCCGGGGTAGTCGAGGGCGAAGAAGATATGGACTTGTCCTCAAGCCGCGCGTCCTCGCCTCTACACGACGACCCACTCCGAGAGGAGCCCTCTGTTGTCGGCGCCTGGCCACATACTCCCGCGAGGGAAACCCAATCCCCCGAGTCGCGCGGATTGAGCGTGTACCAAGCTGAGCTTCAGGCTCTGCTCGAGCGTGAAGTGATTGAGATCAGTGACGATGATTATGGTACGCCCTCCCATGTCGTCGAAGTGAGCCATCCCGTCGGGGAAAGTGAGAAAGATCGCCCAGCCGGGCAGGGCCTGGAGGTTGAGATGGCGGACGCGATACTTGGCGACGTAGAGTCGGTCCAGAGTCCCGTGGGCGCTCTCCCCGTGAACGAGGGTCAAGACATCATGGACCTTGGGAACGCGTCTATGAATGTGAGCGACGACATCCCCGACCAATCATCGTTCGCGCCGGTCCACGCTGCGTTCCAGCGTGCGGATGCAAGCGTCGTCGAGGTCCAGATTGTTAGTATTTGCTCTGCCTTCCCCACCTGTTTTCCTCCCTGGACGCTGACTCGGCGCAGAGCGAGTTCAAGGATACCCCAGCGATCCCCAATGACGAGTCCGTTTTCACCGCACACGTCGAGCAGACGAAAGCCCGCCTCGACGCGCTCGAAACGCGGGTGCAAGATACACAGACAGACCTCGACTCGCGTACCGATGAGCTATCCTCAATCCACACGCGCCTGCAGGTCCTTAAAGACTTTGTGTCCGGGCTGCAAGGGCGCACAGACATTGAAGAGCGACTCGAGGAGCTCACACGGGAGGTGGGAGCCGCGAAGGTCCTGTTGCAAGGTACGTGTGCCTAGCCCTACTTCACCGTTTCCCTTGTCACGCCATCAGGTAACTGATCGTTTCGTCCGCTCTCAGAGTCGTGTACCTCTCAGCACCAAACGCGCGAACAGATCGCCAGCGAACTGGAGGCCATCAAGGCCCTTCGTGCTGAAGTTACTGCGTCTGTAGCCGAAGCCAGACTGGCCATTGCTACCGTGCAGGCCGCCGCCATCGAGGTACGTGTGCCGCTTACTGGCCGTGGTACGATCCGAGCTCACGGGAAGCAGAGCTCGACGTCCCTGAAGAGGAAGCGGGAGGAGGCGGTGAACGACGAGTCTGTCCCGGCTAATCTTGCAGACGTGCGAGACCTGCAGTCCCCTCCTGCGCCGAAGCGAAGGAGAGCCATCCGCGTAGCTTCGACAATCGCGCAGACGGCCACTGTCGCGTCCTTGGGGGCTGCCGCCGCATGGGTCGCGCTTGCGTTCTCGTAGATGTCGAAGCACGTTGCGTTGTTTTCGTTCCGTCGCGCAGCAAGGTACGATCTTCCCATTACTCGGGCAGTATGGACTCCTCACGCTGTCCCGCAGCATGCCTTTTTCCAATGATCCGCTTGGAGGTGTTGTTCGCTATTTTCGAGTGTCCGCAGCGACGCTCGCACATGAGAAGGGGTTATGTATAATATGTTCCGTGTGTCTTCTTTCGGTGGGACATTTGCCAGGGGCAAGACGTATGCTGTATGCTAGGTCGAAGTTTGTTGAACGTGTATATTATGCCAGCAGGCTATTCCTGCCCAATTATCTCTATTCCTCATGGTCGAAATTCTGCACTAAGCGTCGTCTCTTGGAAGGGCATAAATGTTGAATATCTGCAAACGTTTGGCTTGCCCTTGTGCTCCATAGTTGTGATGGTGGCTTTTAGGCAATGTTTAGGGCAGGCTTCGCAGCATCAACTTGAGAATTGATACGCAGAATTTGACCAACATCTGTTATACTAGCCTGACCACGGTGCCCGCGACCAATGCGAAGCTGAGCTTGCCATGGACAGGGCCGATGTCTTACGCACGCTGAAGGAAGGCGAGGGCACAGAAAAAAATGCTCCAGGCAAACACATATCAAGCGTGATATTACCGAAGACGAGGGGCACTAGCGCGAGCTCGACGACACAACACCGAAAGAACGACATAGCAAAAGGATGGAACGCGTATGGGGACGAGTACAGCAGTTAGGCACAAGGATCCGACAATTAGTAAGTCCAGCGAGCGAAGAAGGTCCACAAAGGAGACACAAGTGTAGCGAAAGGAGAGGAGAGCACCAATAATCATAATCCTTCAAGTTCATACGACGGACACACGCGGTCACAGTCGCCACGTCATAGTGCATGGAAGCGATCAGGCAGGCGGGCCCACACCGGGGAGGGTGAAGTCAGGGAAGTTCGGCCAGTTGCCGAGCTGGGCCGGGTCGCCGCCGATACGGATCCAGTTAGAGTGCGAGGGCGTGGGGCCGTCGAGGACCCAAATCTGCCACCACCCAGGAGGCGAGACAAACTGGTTGGGCGGTGCAACGACGGTACAGGTGTTGCCGACGCAGGTGAACTCGGGGAAGATTGTGCGCATGCCCATGGCGTTACCTGGGAAGACGGGGAAGCGAGTTGACAAGATGCTCGTGAAGTGAAGAAAGAAGTAGGTTACGTACCATGCTGTGGAAGAGAAGGAAGGAGGATGTTCTGTGTCAGCGTCTGGTATATTAATATGTCCTGTCAGCGTGGTCCACGCACCGTGCTAGAAGTAGCTGCGTAAGGGAAGAATGCCAGTCAACCACGATGTCCTTCAGTTCGATAGTTTCGAAGTTGCTACGTACCAGCAATCATAGAAACGCGCATTGTCTCCGTAGTTCCTTCGAAGAGCTGGACATGGATGGTGTGACTACTGCCGTACTCCCAGTCCTTCTCGTCGACGGTGAAGCTCGGCTGGGTGCGACCTTGGGTCAAGTACGGCGGGACGTAGACCTCGACACGCATTTCCTCCGGGAAGCCAGGAGTTTGGGGGTCGCTTCCAGAGATCAGAACACGGCCATCAGGAAGGAGCTGTACACGCTAAATGAGTAATGGATACAAACAATTGCGCGAGAGTCACGCACAGTCGACTCGGAGTGGTACAGGCGGGCAACGATGGTGGTGTTCAGAATGGAGATGCGGGAGCCGACGGGCTGGCTCGGGTCGTATAGGAGGGCCTGAAGGTTGGGGTTGGTTGCAAGACCGAAGCCGGCCACGCCCTGCTGTGCTCCATTGACGATGAGGAAGGTACCATCCGGAAGGGCTGTATGACGTTGGATGAGCTGAACTCGATACACAAGCACAAACCTATGTGACTAACCGGACTAAAGAAACAAGTGTCAGCCACGGCTTTAGGAGTCAGAAGAAGCTTCACGTACCATGGACGTCATGACACGGGGGGATGGCTGCAAGCAGTCGATGTCAGAACAATATCGATACTGGATGGAACAAAGCCCGTTGAGCGTACCATACGCTCCAGCACCCATTCTGCGCCATCGACCTCAGGCTGGATGGAAACACAATTATCGAGGGCAAGACCGAAGTTTGATCCACCACAGACGAGGACAGTGAGAGGATCGGTGTACGGAGCGTGCTGAGGGAACAGGACGGCAGTACCCTCCAACGGGTAAGTGCGACCCGCGGCAGGGCTGACAACTGAACCGGGCATGTTGGGGAGCGTCTTGATGGTGTCAAAGGTCACCGGGTCGAGGATACGCGCCTCGTTGTAGTAGCCTGTTGAGCTTAATCAGAAGGAACCCTCATGGACCTGCCAATTGATACATACCAACGAAGATGTTACCGCTGGGAAGCATGTGGAGGAACGGGTAGAGGTTGTTGGGGTCAGTGCGGTTGAGCCAGTCCATGAACAGGTAGGTGGGACCACCCTCGGGAGTAGGGAGAATCTCCAGAGTGGGCTCCGGAGCACCGTTACTACCAACCTCACCACCGACGATCAAGACGCTACCGTTCGACAGGACAAGTCCGGACGGGTACCAGCGGCCCCTCTGAAGAACGTCTCAGATCGAGTACCTACATGCGAAAAGATGAGACGCACCTGCAACTTGAGCTCGTTGAAGTTCTCCTCCCAATCGTTGGTTCCGTTGACACCAGGGCTGCCATCGGGCGCGTAGAGGCGGACACCAAAAGTACTGTCGAGTGACCACCCTCCGAACATGAGGTGCCTAGCAGCCCGATCGGGAAGTACAACAGCACCAGCGCAGAAGGTGTCAGACTTGACATGCATCGTACGCCAAGTCTTCTCGAAATCGTCGACCAAGCTGAGATCGAGCTCGTACGCGCCAGTCGAATTGGTGAACTCGCTCGTCCCGAACTTCTCAACGAACGAGACCTTGTTGTTGATGCCAAGCGTGACTAGAAGGGGGACGACGACACCAGGAACGAAGAACTCGTAAAATCCTGTGTTCGCAGGCGTCTTCCAGTCGTTCATGACGCCATTCCACTTGTAGTACTGCAATGGGTTTTAGCACATCCATCAGACTTCTGCGGTGAGCGTGTGCACGTACCGAGAGACGGTTTCCACCACCGCATAGGTGGATGGGGTCACCAGGGCATGCAATGTTACAGTCGGACTCGGGTGCAAATCCAGGGCTTGCGTCGGTGTCCGAAACGTCACCGCAGTCTGGGGCAAATGTTATTGTTTCATCCCTGTGAGGAAAATTGATAGACTTACAGCATTCTTGACCGAACTCAGTACCTGCCGCAGGGTATCCGAAAGCAGCGCATTGGTTCAAGCAATTGTCGATCGAGTTGTTCGTGGGCTGGACAATTTTGTTGGGGAAAAGGCGAACGCCGTTTGGTGCCTCCCTGTAGATGTGTATGTTAGTGTCGAACAACGATGATGAGGACCCATTGACATACTGCAGACAGCCTTGATACTCCCAATTGCCTTTGTACGTACGGGTCAGAAAGTCTTGCCGAAGACTTCGAGAATATCAGCAGGACATACCCGGAAGACTGCTGTTCTTGGGTGTGGGAACCGGCAGGGCTACCACGTTTCCGGTACTAGTATACACCTGAATTAAGACCCCATGTGCCTTAGCAGAAGATCTCGCGGACGCTATTGACGAAGCACGCTTACGGAAAGTCGATTCGGTCCACCACAAGCCTCCCTACACGGGAATCAGTTTACCTCGAATGGAAGGAGAGAATTGGTACGCACTGGGTGTTCCCGCCACATGCCATGTTGCACGTCGTTGGATCGCCCACCACCGCGCCGTCGATCAGCGTATCGCCGCAGACTATCCCAGAGGTGATCTGGTCAAGGCACAGCCGATTTGAAGTAAACACCAAGAGACTCACAGCACTGGACGCCGAACTCAAGTCCCGCCAATGTGAAGTTCTGTGAAGCGCAAGAAGCGACGCAGGACTCGACCGTCAAATTCTGGTCGTCCGGATTCTGGTTCGCAAAGACGCGACCGTTTGCATTATCACTAGTACCGATCAGCCTCAGAATGAGAGGTCCCTTATATGAACAGTAGTACTCACACGTAGCACGCGGCGTATGTCCAGGTTCCGGGAAGGCCGGAGGTGACCGGGTTCACGAGGACAGGGCCGGTACCGCCTCCGCCTCCACCGCCGACAGGAGCGCCTGGAGTTCCCGTGATAGTCCCTGTGAAGTTGTAGACCTATGAAGAGCATGGTAAGCCCTAGGCAATGCGTAGGAGATCAGAAGCCACTGACGTTCAGGGCGTTAGGACCGCCGCACAATTCAGTGGAGTTGCCAGCACAGGCCATGTTGCACAGCGATGCATCGATAGGTGCCCCACCATTGGCGATGTTAGTGCTGCAGACTGGACAGAAAGGTGAGCGACGTAGATCGGTTGAGTGTATCACTTACAGCATTGGGCGGCAAATTCCATGCCGGCAAGAGGGAAGTTGGCGTTAAAGCAAGCTTCTGTGCATCCCTCGACTGTGAAGTTCCCAGGAACATTGACCCCAGTAGGCAGGACACGGGCATTCACGGAATCGCTGTAAACAGTTGTCTGAGATAGGTTTCATCAATCAGGTGATGCACTCACTTGAAGCAGCCCAATGATTCCCAGAGACCGACGGACGGAACAACAGTAGGAGGGGGCGGTGGAGCGACGCCGTTCCAGTAAACGCTCAGCCTGTCTGTTAAACCAAAACAGATGAGAACTTCGAAGCCCGAGAAGATAGGACTACTCCCACTCACTTCCTGCGCCACAGATCTCGTCTGGGTTCCCCGTACAGGCGAAGTTGCAGTCCGACAGAGTGGCGTTAGTGCCGCCGTTGGCGATCTCGTCGCCACACCCTAGACAAGGATACAGCATGAGCGCAATCCATCTTATCGCCATCGTCATAAAGGCGCACGCACAGCACTCCTGGGCGAACTCCAACCCAGCGAAATTGAAGTTCTGGGAGGAGCAGAACGACACACACGACTCAACGGTCATGCCGGTCGTGTTCACCAATGATGCCCCACCGAGGGAGCGGGCGCCTTGGTCGCTATGTATGGCATGAGCGAAGGTCCATCATCCAATGAGCGCGAAACCTAGACGCACGTAAAGCATCCGAGGAACTTATAATCGGTTCCAGGGATGGCAGGGGTGGCGGGGTTCTGACGTGCGCGGAGAGTGGAACCATGGGATACCTGCAGGCAGAGGACGTCGTTAGATCAGCGAGATGAAGGTTGGGGTAAAAAAGGTTGCGGAGTCGACATACATGGGGCAGGGACAGTACAAGCACTGCGAAGGAGGTAGTGAGGACCACCATCTTCAGCGCACCGCCAACGTCTGAACAGGAAGAGGGTGCTGGGATAACAAGATGACCGCAGGAGGGCTTATATGTAGCGCTAACAGGCCGCCTAAGAACCACTGGATGCGGCAGACGCGTCACGCTAATACTTACGGAAAACATTTGCTGGACCGATCCGACCATCATGTCACCGGAAGGCATTCCTCGCGCCGACGTTTCCCTGAGGAATCGAGTTTTGGCCGTCAACAGTTCCCTGGCTAAGAATGCTGCCTGGCAGTGCGGCCGGCGCGTCAGTGCATCGAGATTGCTTCCAGCGCTTTCTTGTCCGGCCTTATTCTCCACCGCACCGGAGGCGTGGCCTCGCTATTCAGAGGAAGAACTTCGTCAGCTGTGCAGAACGGACGTCCAGACACAAAGATACGAACGGCATCGAGGGCGCCGTGTACAGTGGAGCGGTACAGTTGACAGCGTCATCAAGCCTGTAATCCCTGGCGTTACACCGACCGTTCGCGTCTGTCGGGCTTCTGATTGACCTGACAGATTCTTGCAGCGCCCGAATTGCAGCCCGCAGATGAAAGCAACCGAGATGTACAGTGCTCCCCACTGAAACGAGTCGAGTGCGGTCAGGACGCTAAGGGTGCGAAAATCCCACGTGGCCGGGAGTCCTGAACATTTGTCCGCGCGGCGGGCTTAGCGTATTGAAGCCCATCTTCGATATCTATTCCCACCGAGTTGTCGATTGCTCAGGAACAGCGCGGCGCGTTTACTAGATCTCTGCCGTCGATTCGACGCGAACCGGAGAAACGACAGGGGTGCAGTTGCCCTGCGCCGGGACCCGACAGATCGAGTCCGGTGTGTACCTGATATAGGGCAGCGATGTTGATAAGCGGATCGCGTATGCATTGGAAGGGGGTGCGCGAGAACTCGGCATGCCCACCTTCTGGTAGTACGACGACGATGGTCCCTACGAGGCGGGATGCGGTTTGAGTCTCGCTGTCCTGGATGACGTGAGGAACGCTTCGCGCGGATCAGAGTCGGTACCATTCTGGGCCAGTGTAATAGCTACCATCCCGCATCAGCCAACGTCGTGCCCAGGTAACCTCCTTCAAACGAAGCATCCGTTAACCCCTCCAGGTCCAAGTCCGCTTCGAATGGTAGTGACATGACAGGTGCTGTCGCGGCACCGGTGACAGTGCGGCTAGAATGGAGGGTCCCTGGAAGCAGCCGTAGAAGACTACGCGACGACAGCAACGTATGGTCTCCGGATACGGCCTTTGAGAGGAGTCGGGCCGGGTCACGGAACCCCTGGCGGCGAGCATTTGACCAGCAGCATGAGACCACGAGGGGGGTGAAGGTCGATAAATTACGAAGACTCACGACAGGTTCTCTTCTTCAACGGCTTGGATCCCGTATCAGTCATCGGCGTCACCCGTCGAAGCCTTCGCGAGACGTTGCGCTAATATTGTCCTCGGCGAGTGGTAGGGTAATTCGGAGTAGGGCATCGAAGCGGAATCCGATGGGAGTCGAAGTTGTATGCAGAGACAGCGTGCCGCCGGCGGATGCCATAAGATGTACGCAGGAATCTGCTTGATGCGGGGAAACATCACGTTAAGCCACACGCTCTGCGGACAATACTTCGTTCCAAGTGGGGCGACTGCTTACTGAGAGGAGTGGACTTGGGCGCGGAATCGACCGGCGGCTGCGTGCGACAAGCTACCCGACCCGGAGGGCGATGTGGATCTGACATTCCTAAGACATTTGATAGGGCGACAATCAACCCAGAGATATGGTGCTAATGTGATCCGCCTAACGTCTCGGAGACAGCGGTTGGACGCATTCTGTATAGGTTGGTCGTGCGTTCCCTGACCGTGTGCCAGGCACAGCCAAGGTACCCATGTCCCACAAAGCCAGCTCGTTCGTCGGCGCATTCTCACAGAGTGGGATGGACCGAGTCGGAGGGTCCCTGACGAAGCCGGCAATCCGTCTAAAGGCGATGAATACACGGTTTCTACTAGTGCGATGCTCGGACGTACCAGAGCATACAGATCGTAGAAAGTAGGGGGCTTCGATGACGGTGAGAGGATGTGCGCCCGGCACCGGGAGCATTGAGCTGTTAATGGGATAAGTCCGAGATGGCGAACAGACTCACTGTCTTCGCCCGGGGAATTGCGACTCCAGAAGAGCCGGGGTCGGTCGATTTGGTCAGTCTGCATATACTGCGTCCAGCACAGTCACGTAACAGCGCTAGGCAACGACAAATCGAGGACTCCACCGACAACGGTCCCATGATAAAATCGTCTTCGCCCCTTCAATTGCGTGGTTTTGCTGGAAGGGGAAGATTATAAGCCGCCTTAATGACGAGTGGCATTGTTACATATCACTTGAATGGCGAGCGCAACGCTGGAGAATAGTCGATCAAACGTTACTGCACGGCCGCGGCTAGCCCTAGTATGGACAAGCGTTGCACGAGCGCATCTTGTGTACGCCCTTCGCGGCGAGCGATCGAATGAACTTCAATTAAGGCTGAACGACGCCCACTTGGTCGTTTGATAGTGGTCACCATAAAGCACGGGATCGAATACTATCGCATTTGACGCAAGCGCACGTCGGTATGGCAAACTAAAGAGTCCGGATGCAGAAGACAGAACCTTAGCAGTCTCTTCGATAGCTGTGATTGTGGCACGTACAGACTAGAGGCGTGTCCACGACGGGATCGCATGGCTGTAGCGTCATTGGTATTCAAATAGGGCACAACGTGAACAGTGCGACGTAACTTACGCATACACCGGCAAAACGCCCGTCACCCCACTAGTCTGGCAGTAAAACCCATCGATGGCTACAACGCTCGTTGGCGCTACCTGCTCCGGTACAGTTGGCGCCTGCCGCGCAACGCGTGCCTTCTTGGAAAGAGAACGGTATCTTCTCCGAGCAAGGCGCCGCAAGAGCATCAGAAGCCATGGTCCGTTCAGAATGATCCAGCCGGTGGAAGAGGTGGCAGGCTGGCTGCTGATCGGCTGATCTATCAGGATGGTCTTAGACGGCAGTGCCGTGAGCGAGCGATTGCAGGTAGCCGCCTCCATGGTAGGTAAATTGACGGAGCTACCCATCGAACTGCGTCATGCGTCAAGTTGACTTGTGAGATGGCCCGTCGACTTTCCACACAGTTAGAAGCGTGTTCCTCAGGACATTGAGAACTGCAGGTTCGCTACGATCCACGGTTTGGTTTGGGCATCAACAAGCGAAGTAGTAGCAGATGAAGCATGGAATGGAGCGACAAGACACACGGTGACCTTCAGCGGCGCCCCGGTGGCGTATGTTTGGTCATGCTTGCGATTTGCGCTTTGCTTTGACGCCCAAACACCCTCCCTCAAAAGCTGGGCCAAAACCCGGCTTAAACAATCGCTATATTTTCATTCCAGGTCCTCGCCGACTTCCTTGAGCCGGAGAGTCGCTTCGAAATGGTTGATTTAGTTGCGGATGAAGTCAACATACACATAACATCCGCTGACCTCAGTACCCCACAGAATTTTGTAAGCTCGGCGGCGTCCATCACAATCCGGCTGTTTTCTACGGCAGGATCACGAAGAGCAACTACTAGAATATTGGAAGTAGAAGGCCCGTCAATGAATCGATGACGGTGGGGGCATCCATACCGACATCACGGTAACTGAATTTGCAGGAGGCTGTACTCAAAAATCAAGATGCTAGGCTTACAGGAGGCAATAAGCGCATCTTCAAGTCCGCCTCAAATGATTAGCCAATGTGAATTATGTGGGTACATTTAGATCGTCCTCCGTACTAACCGACATCATGTCAGATACTCTCTGTCATGCATAGCCTATTAGGACCCACTACTACATAGATCGCGGTCCAAGAAGTCATAATCAGAAATGCGGAAGTCCAGAGACGCCGCTCGTCTCTTGCCTGGGCTGTCAGTTCGGGCCAACCTGCGGAAGCAAGAAGGCCCCGAGGCATTAGTATGTTGCGCCTATGCTCAAGCTATGGACATATCGATCCGTCTTTCGTGAGCCGCGGTGAGGGAACAGAGCTCGTTTCCGACATGAATAAGCATGTCTTCACATTGAACTAACCAAAACACTGGAGCCGAGCGCCATTTCTCACTACGCGAAGGCACTCCGACTTGCGATTCCATTGGGCCAGGATTCACGGCAGAATGGTCCCGTTGCTCGGGCAAGACTGCTACGACAATTTGAATCAGCATACTATCTAGCCAGAGATAAGCACGAGTTTCAATCAGACTTGAAGGACCTCTTCCGACAGCAACATACTGGAGTTCATAAACGATGGCTCAGCTATGATACCGCATCTAGTCGCACAACTGCGGTCCGAAGCACCCTACTTCTGCGAGAAACGACGTCCTCGAGCTCCGAGCCGAGCTTCTATTCGCTCGCGTTTTACATGCTGGTCCCTGTTGCAGTCTTCCGCTTCCTGGAGGCTACCTGATCCGGGTTGCTGCCTATGCCCTCTCACTGGCAATTTCGAGCTTGCAAGCTTCCAAGTGCCGGGACTCCGGAGCTTTTTAGTCAGTCAATACCCACGTACGTCATCCTTCTGAGTAATGCCTCGTGTCGAATATTCAGTCCAAGGAAGCCTAGATATTACTGTGTACAAGGCACATAGACTCGCAGGTCATATGGACACCTTCTTTCCGTGCGAGACTGGATGATGTCATGTAAGATTAAAGCTAAAAGCCCTGGCGAAGCGAACACTACAAGCATGGGTCGTTTCTCAGTGCCACGGCAATTGCTCTCGCGAGCGTCAAGCTGTCAAACCAGAACGCCTGCCGGCGACAGGAACCGGGCTGGTTCACAAGCCCAGAAGCTCAACAACGCTGGCATCCCATGTGATCAGCCCCACAAGGAACGGGTCCGGCGACCGCCCTGACGCCATCGTATTCTTTCAGGTCAATCGGCGCGCCGGGGATAGAGTCGAACCTGAACGCCCAGAGCATATGTGCGAGTCCCAGAAATACTTCCTTACCTGCATGAGTGACTCCCGGGCTAACGCGACGTCTGTGTGAAGTCCGGTGTCCGCATGGAAGGTCGAGGAGGGGAGGGAACGGTGCATGAGCGAACGTACGGGGGCAGCACCAACACTGTGGAGACTTGAGATGAAATATACCCGATGCCGAAGGACCAGTGATCGCGCTCCGTGGGGTCGGCGAGGTGCGCTGATTCGGCGGAGATGATAGTGTCGCTGAGATAGCGCTCAGGCTGGCGAGAGGATGGAGTTAGGGGGGCCCAACGTGCGTCGTGAGGGCTCAACTTAGCCACTTACATGGAAGATGTACGGATTCGGGTGTCGCACCGGGACCCTATGCATAGTCCACTCACGCTTCACCAGCTCATGCTGAGTCTACACCTCGACATCTGCATGAGTGACTTATCGTATTACCGATGGCGCCGATATCCTTCGGGATTAGGGGATTATGGCATGTGAAGTCATCCGTGCTGAATTGGGGTGTTTTTGAGCAAGAAGGGTTCGTGTGATTTGGTTGCCTCCTGCAATGCAGGTCAGATAGGGCCCACTAAGCTGAAAATCGAGTAGTTGACCTTGGCGATAGCTCGGATGTAGGGTCAATCCCTCTCTTCGTCTTCGTTCGGCAGGCGGTCGCGCCCACAAACGCGGTCGAGCTCTGTCTGTGCTCTCCCCTCGACCAAAGTAGCCCGCGAGGTAAGCGGCAAGCCACTTTTAGACGGACGCGGTCTGCAATACCTACCAAGTTGTCTCGGTAAGCACGAGGGAAACCAGAGCAACTCGTCATCTTGACTCGAACTCCGCCGATGATCAGCGTGCCACACATAATGAAGATGGCGAGATCGTCGCGGCCCTCTTCTACGCCCGTGAGTAGCGTCTTGACCAAGCATTCAGGGACAGGGTCTCCTCCTCTTGAGACGGGCCTCAATGTCGACTATATATGGACGATTGATCTTCAGCATGTCCCGGCCAAGTCGCCGGGCCGCGCTCTTCATGATCCGGCGGGGAAGAATTCGACTGCCTTCGAAACGGAGCCAGTCACGTTCCTGACAAGACAGGTTAGCATAACATTGTAGCATAGGACAGACACGTCGTCACGTACATGAACTGGCGCTCAATGCGGAGGACCTCTGACATGACAGGGTCGGACATGGACTCGGTCCCAATGCTGGAAATGAGCAAAAGAAAGATGTTGAGAGCCGATCGACTGGCATACGGCGACGGATTGATCGCGTTTGCACCCGCCTTGCCGTCGACAAAGAGGTTGCGGATCATTTCTTTGGCCTCTATCGCTTGCCCGTATGTCGCCACTGTGCATGCGGTTAGCATTTTCTGTTCGATACGCTGATGTTTGCACCTGTGACCAGGTCAACTCGATATAAGCAATCGTGTTGAGAGAAAGGACTCAGGCTAGGTTAGCTCAGTCTCGTTGTGCCTGCTTGTGGTGATGCCTCGGTGGATGAGGATGGTTTGAACCTCGATGAACATCCTCTTGTGCGAAGAGGATATCGCGCCGTTGGCGATGAGGATATCGTTCACTACACGAGGGTCCGAGAGGATTGGAAGCTCTGGTTTCCGATGATACACGAGTATATGGGGCTATACTTCTTGGCCTAGCGGTAAAAGCTGAGCTCAGGGTACTTCTTCAGATAACGAAACACACCTAAATAACGTCCAATCAACGCCAAAATGGAGCGGTGAGAAGGATAGAAGGCTCGCCGGGAAAGGGAAGCCCAGTAGGACCTGCCAGAAGGGTGACTTTAGAGACAAAGTACTGAAACCTCAATATGCTATACAGACCACAGTCGTACCCCTGTCAGTGACCTGACGGGAAAGGGCAGTGATACAGCTCATGAATATGAGAACACCTGAGCGAATCAATCAAGCTCCGTGCGAACAGCGACATGTTTGCTCTGAGGGGGAAGCACGAGGGTCAATTTGCGCGGACAATGATTCTCTGAACCTAGCATGACTATATGTTGAGAGGAAGAGTGAATGAAGGTTTCAGGGAGACCTTCTGTGCATTTATCGCTGACTGATATGGGTCGTAGGAACTGGGATTCTCACTATCATAGCATGGGCAGCTCACAACGCCTACACGATCGCTTCTGCAGGAGCATATCAATCGAAATCGCATAACCGTGTGGGGCCACCAAATGGAAAATTATCGCATACCGCAAATCACGTACAGCAGAGCCCCAATGGCTACATCGAAGCATATCATGAGAAGCCGCAGAATTGGGGCTGGGATGGCATTGCTTTGTGTATCGGGTGTCCAGGTGTCTGCCGGCCGCTGCGATGACGTCCAACGGAACCGTGGAACGACAGACATCGAATGGGTGTCGACCTGGTGAAAATATCTTGGTGTTATGTCGGAGTCCTTTGCGTGCCGTGTCAATTGCCGCCTGAGGATGAGAAAACACTTGTGATTAGTCGACATGGGTATAACTATAAGTCCGTGAGGCCACTGTAGCCTGGGGATTCGTCGATCCAAAGACACATCGGCGCAGATCAGCACTGAAGGCTCAGAGCTGGCCTGGTTGCAGTGTGTTGTTTGCTGATCGTTAGTCCGCTCTCGTCATATCAAGAAAATCGTCTACCGTTGTCCAGACAGCACAGCCTCTTGCAGTCGCTCTTGGGTTTCCTGAGCTACGGCCGGAGCCTAGAATCCGGGAACTACAAGAAAATGGGGTAAACGTAGAATATCTGAATTTGGGAGAAAGGAAGCATTGTCACGAGCGACACAGACCTGTTGAGCTGTATGGCTGTCCGAGACAGTATGTCGTTAACAGCCAGCTTATCGTCCATTCAATTTTACTCTGCCGACCCGGTTGAATGCAGATCATCGAGGATCGTTCTTTCGATATGCGCCAGGAAGACAGCGAGATGATAGTATAGGTGGTCGCATACACTGAGACTGTATGGTCGTAGTAGCTATGGCGGCGAACATAATGATGCTTGAGCTAGCAAACCAGTTGGTGGCTGGTCGTAACTACATGCACATGATAAATCAACATCGCCGGGATAGCTCAGCTGGGAGAGCAACAGACTGAAGTTCTGGAGGTCGCGTGTTCAATCCACGCTCCTGGCATTGTTCTTTTGATTCCAAACTCATCCCAAGTGATCTTTGATTTTCTCGCTTTGCTCACATCGAAACCTGACATTACCGCTGTCAAGTTTTCTTGGAGCCGTTAGCATCCCTATGTAAGTGCTTCACGCATGGCCCTGCAGCCAGAGGGCCAGTCATCATGTCATATGATGCCAATGCTCAAGAGGTCCATGAATCGTCAAAGTTGATGTGCAAGTACATGACTCTTCATCGTCCCCAGGCCAGCCTCTTCGCCTGTACTCCCTATCGATCCGGCAATCGCAGGTAAAGCCAATTCAATCATGCATCGGCGTCGACGTGTGGAGGCTGGAGCGCTCGGTGGCTGGCGCTTACTCAGGGCGCAGCCGAGCGTCGCCTGCCAGGTTTAGTAAGATAAGTTGAACTTGAACGGCCACCGTCACCTTCCGGACACAATTCCATTGTTCTACAGTTTTGGTATCTGACCCAGTACTGAGATAACACGTGTCCGCCGAGTTGCACTGACCTCAGACCCTCAATCACCGCCGCTATAAAGCTCTCCCCTTCTCCGCGAGCTGCATCTGACTGACCCTATCCGTATTAAATCAGACACGTCATTATCCAACAACCATAGAGCACGCAACGCACACGCCCTTCGGCGGAGAACTTGGACGCGACGATCTACCTCAGTGTCGCGTGAGGTTCGAACACGACATGGCTCACGCAGCAGTCCTCGTTTAAGGAGAAGAATTCTGCCATGCATTCTTCCCTCCACCAACCACATTCACGACCCCCTCCCCAAAGCCGAAGATCGAATCCAACCCATTTGCAAGTCTCGCAGACGCCGACAATATGGTAGAGGCGGAGGTTCGCGCAAAGTTCGTGAGTGGTTACGGTGTCCCATGCTGTCGTGATCCCATGCTAGAAATGGTAATGTCATGACAGACACGGGCAATCAATATGCACACTCTCGTCCCCGGCTTCAAGATCGCGGAATGCGGAGAGAGACCCGATGCTTGGGAACCCGAAGATGGAGAGTACAAGATGAAGGTCGACGCCGCCGTCTATCTCGCCAAGGACATTCCTACCGACCATCATCCTCACTGGGCCGACCAGATCATCCCTATTGAGTTTAAGCGCGAAAATGTTGCGCTGGATCCCTTCGACGACCGCAAGGAGAACTTTGGTACCTCCACAGACACGCGCAAGATGGTCCGCGGGCAAATCATCTCATACGCCGAATTTATCTTCGCTGTCCAGCAGCGCGTCGCTCTGTTCATGTTCGTCGTCATCGGTCAACAGATCCGCTTCGTCCGCTGGGACCGTTCTGGTGCGTTGGTTACGCGTTCGTTCAACTACGTGGAGAACTGGAGGTCTCTCTGCGAGATCCTCTGGCGTATCTCCAACTGCTCTGTCACAGATCTCGGTCTCGATCCTACCGCTACACAGTTGTATCCCGACGACGCCGACTACCAGCGCATGGATGCCGATGCCCTCCCCAACGACTCAGACGCAGACGACACTGAACGAGACCTTATGCCCGAGGAGTTGGCGGACGACAGCAAGTATGTGTTTACATATGTTCGGGAGATGTTTGCGAAGTCCCTCAACGCTACATGGCCTCGCTATCGCGTTGAGGTCCCCTACGGCCCTTCTATGCGAACCTTCTTGATTGCAAAGCCATCGTTCCGGGCCAAGGGTCTGGCCGGTAGAGGCACACAAGGCTATGTCGCCGTGGACTGCGAGTCTGGCGAGTTAGTCTGGCTGAAGGACACGTGGCGGGCGCACTACATTATCATCGATCCAGAAGGCGATATTCTGCAGAAGCTCAACGATGTGAAGATCGTCAACGTTCCTACCCTCGTCTGCCATGGAGATATCGCGAAGCAGGTCACGCTGACTCCAGACTGGTGGGAGGCCAAGAATCCTCCGACGTCTGACCGTGCATCATCTACAGAAGGAGATCCATCAGGGGCCCCATCGGTATCCACATCCACGTCCACGCGGACCCATTCTCACTCCTCCTCGAGTCTGAAGCGCAAGCGCGGCGACGAGAGATCAGGGGATGGCGCACCGGCGCCGAAAACTGACTGGCGCGATAAATGCACGCTCTGCCACCATCAACATTATCGCCTAGTGGAGAAGGAAGTCGCTCGATCACTGATAGATTTCAAGAACGGTCGCCAGCTCATATTTGTCGTTTCGGACTGCGTTTATGGTGAGTGCTGGGTCGCCTATGGTCGGAGTTCGCGCCCTCATCATGTCCTTCCACGACAAGCCCATTCTAAAGCTGCCACAAATCCGAAGACTCAGCTGTTGCATCGCGACATCAGCGGTGGCAACATCCTCATATTACCTAAGGTATCTAATGAGGAAGATGGTATCCGTATCTTGAAATGGACGGGCATCCTCGCCGACTGGGAGATGTCGAAGCCCTTGCAGAATCCCCTGTCCAGACCCCGTCAGCCAGAGCGCACTGTATGTCTTTGTCGATCCTGTGATACGTCAAAGCTGACGGCCCCTCCAGGGTACTTCGCAGTTCCTTTCAATTGCGCTTCTATCTCGCCCTAAGGTCGTCGAGATCTGCGACGAGCTTGAAAGCTTCTTCTACGTTATCATCTACTACGCCGTTCGATACCTCAGGTCGAACCTCGAAGGGTTCGCCCTTCGCCATTGGATCAACGCTTTCTTCAACACGTACGGCGTCACGAACGATACCGGGTCCATTAGGCGGAAGGTTGTCGCCGTCCAACTAGGCGCTTTCTGGATATCTAACGACGATAGGCTCGAGTTCAACAGTCCCATGGATGAAGTCTTGTCAAGGCTCCTGATGTGGCACCGGGCCCAATATCTCGTCACGCGTCACAAACGCAGGCAGGAACAGAAGAAGACTTCGGAAAGCAGCCCTGCTCAGCGCTAGCGGCTCTCGTGCCTCGCAGGCGTTTCCAGAAAGACCCTTGGCGTCGTTACGATGACCTGCAGTTGTCGATGATCAAAGATGACATCAAGGACGACAAGATTGTCGACCCACTGGAGCCCACCAAGAAGGACAAAAAGTACTCGAAGTACGTGCACAAGCACAAGCACATGATACGTCTCCTCGACGACATCGCCTGCGAGCGGGAGTGGCCTTCCGGTGATAGGACGCCTGATCGGATCCTTGTGGATTGCTCACCTCCCGCAAGGTCGGTGGGGCCTACAGTACCGGCGTCTTCCGCGAACAATCCGCACAAGAAACCAAAACTTAGCGGAGGATGCTAGAACAGTGATGTCTGTTTCCATTTGCATACCGGGACCACGCCGGGACCATGCTCGCTGGAGCCATCAGCATCCTACTCTGCGTCGTCCTAGCGATTCCGCGGGTTGCAGGATCCGCGGTGTGCGCTTCGAAGTTATCATTGATCGCACGGGTTCGCAGGCGACGAAATTTAGGAAACCAGAGATCCTTGCACTAAGTGATACATACTCCTTCAGCACTTGCGCGACTCAACCCACCCGGGTTGATGTGATGTCCCATCTATTACAGTGCTGCCACGCAACTGCACCGTGCCCGCTGTGGTTGAACATATAGATCGTTTTCGCAACTATTGATTGACATGTGACCTGCGATTGTTATGAGCACGGCCACCCGGAACTTAGCAGTAGAACGAACGCACGGATCAGCCTGGTCTGTTACGCCTACTTCTGTCCACGAGGATAGCGCTCTGTTCGGTACTTCGCTGCGTGGGTCCTGAATCCGAACACCACATTGACCAGGTGTCCCATAGGACGCCCAAGCGACGCCGGCGTCGGCATGTTGGCCTCCAGAAGTCGTCGCATGTCCTCGGTGAGCTCACCTTGTTTGTTAGGTCAGGATGTGTTTATTGTGGGACCCTAGGCCGTCCTGCGCAATTCGGCAGTGATCTGGATCTGTGTCAAAGCTTTGTGAACGTATTTGCAGAGTAATAACCGACTAATAGGATACCATCGCATCGATGTCGTCTTCTACGAGAGTGATGGTTCACATCTATGAAAGTGGTCTGGAACTACTCGCGGTGAGCGTAGTTGTATCGACGACTTTCGGGGACCGACAGCACACCGGGACGCTGGGGGTACGCTTGATACCGCAGGCAGATCGTTGTAGTGTTGCATCGAGCAAGTCAAGCGTAGAGAACGTCTCTTGGTGGCGACTACCCGACATCATCGTAGGTATGACTCGAGTTGCTCTTCCCCATTACAAATCGACCGGCTTACTCTGGTATACCGTAATCGCTCTTGCTTATCTGGATCGCAGTCGGCTAGAGGAGCCCGACATCGCCGATGACGACAGGAAAACGCATCTGCCAACCATACGTGATGGTCAAGGTGCACGTACTTGGAAGCCCTGGACGGCATGAGTTTGCTGAATCGGACGTTTGACCGAGTAATCCTACTCACAGCGTATCTTACTCCAGGCCAGGCCAGAAGAAGTGTTATAGCCCTGTGTACTGTAACCGCTGTCCTTCGAAGCTACTCGTCAAGCGAACGAGTCCAAGATCCGGTCATCAAAGCCTCACCAGCATCCTCGCATGAGGAGGCCGGCATCGGGTCCTGACTCACCGCCATGTCGCTACGATACATTCATGCGCTGTGCCTCGCAAAAGATTGAGTGAAGACGACAAACGTACTGACTGTAACTCACGACGCACCTAGCACTCGCGCCACCTCGTACCGATGCAGAACTGCCCACTCTATGCTTGAGTGGCGCCCGTTTTCCAGCCGCTCGGGCAACGCGGCGAGCACTGTGCGTACAGCAAGACGGCGGAGAGCTCACCCTCCAGCGGCTGGAATGCAGGGCGGTGCACGGGCTCCGCGTCCGGCACCCCCCCCTAGCCCAAGCCGGGTGCCCATGCGTCGAAATCCGCAGTGTTCAGGCCCTCTATCCAGCCACACTCACCGTTTGAAGGCACACCAGCGGAAATGGACTCGGCCATGGCATACACAACCCGTCGGGGACGAGCAGGACGCACCATGCCTTGACAGTATGATGAGTAGACAGGGCTCTTGTGCTTGATCTTGTGCTTGGTCGTGACTTCCTGACTTTCGTAGTCAGGTCGGTGTTGTGGGCGCGGCATTCAGAGTCGCGTCTCGGCGAGCCAATCGGCAAGGGCGCGTTCGGACAGCAGAAGCAGTCGCCAGAATATGAGTCTCCGTCGCGCCAGAAATGGACTAGAGAGCAGATGTGTTCCCGAATAGACTGTAAGGCGCCACAAAGACACTGATCGTGGAAGCACAGACGACTCCTCGCCAGCCCAAGACGCTCGGATAATGAGAGGACTTCCGCTATGTGACATAGTTTGGTGGTCGAAGGCGGACCAAGTCCGCACGCTGAGATGTTCGGGAATCCTCGAGCAAGTCGTCCAAGAGGAAAGTCGGCGTACACGATTCGGGGGAGCGAGAGAATGGTGTCGCCCAAGTCCAACCGTGGCATAATTAGACCAAATTGATCATATGAAACTGATGTCCGATGTGGAGTGGGCGCACCGCCTGTTGGCCATTGAGAGTCCCAGCGGCCAGATCAAGGTACGCAAGGACGCAGAACCAGTCTACTTATGACAAGCTAGGCACCTCGCGACCGCAAGCATGGAAGGCAGAGAGAAAATATGCCAAGATGTATAAGACATGCTGACGAGAAAGGCGTGGAGAAATCATGGCAGAGGAAACAGATGGGCCGTGCTGGAGCCCGCCACGGCGGCCTCGACTCAATTGAAACGTCGATCGTTCGGAACGTTAAATCGCAAGCCAAAATATCCCAAGTCAGATATGCGCGGAGACAAAGCCCAGGAGATTGGTGCCACCGTCCTGTGATGTCGGTCAACGTTCCTTGCTTACTCACGCGGTGTGAGTAGGCACTTCTTACGCATGTCCGGTAGCGGGGCTGTTCCTTTTCAGACCAAAATCTGTGCCCGGCATCAGCGTCGATCCTTCGTACCAAGCTGCGAGGCGTGATGCGTGGTGCACGTACTGGAGAAGAGATGAACCCGATCGCACTGCCGGGCCATCGGGGAATTATTTATGTAGAGTTGAGAGGAAGCAGTGTATGAAATAGCCGAGACATAAAGTTGGATGCCAGGGCTGGGGAAGCTCGAGGTTTGCATGCCGGCGAATAGATCTTGGGCGCACAGAGAGAAGAAGCTGATCGGGAGTCCGCGGACGCGAAGCGATGGCAGGACTGTGGATGTGCACTTGTGCGATTCATATCGGAGATACGAAGTAGACGGAATAAAAGCTGCGTGAGGACCAAAGTACTAAGATGGGAAGGTGCCTGCGGGGACGGATTCTGTCGGCGAAGGACGCGTGATGCGCCAGGACGAGAATGGAAGGGCGGGTGTGGCTGAGGCAGGCGGAGTACGTCGGAGTGTGAAAAGTGGGCGTCGGAAGAAGGCCTTTTGCGGGGGGGTCGGCAAGGCGGGGCGCGAACCTTCTTTTGCCTCGCCCACCAGCCCGACGAAATCTAACTCGCGGTCAGTCAACTTTGTTCCCTAACCCTCGTCCATTATTCGCTGACAACCTGCCCGCCCTCGACGTCCCTCCGCTGTCCTTGTGGTTGTCCCTCGTGTCTGCGCCGTCGCCATCAACAATGTCCAGTCTCGATCACTCGTTCGAGCATTCCCACTCATGTCGGGCCACGACTCCCAATCTGGCGCTACCCAGTGGACAGAGCCCCCATGGTCGGGGTGGATAGAGACCACAGGCGACGCCCTTCTCATTCTCGAGGCCGCAAGGCGCGGCCTCATCCCACGCGTAACTCGCCGTCTCGTCGATTCTGAACGCAAAATGATCACCTCCGGCTCCGTCTTCGTCTTCGACGAGGACGAGAGCGGCATCAAACGGTGGACCGACGGCTTTTTCTGGAGCCCGAGCAGGATACTAGGCAACTTCCTGCTCTATCGCGAAACCGAGAAACGGGGTGCGGGGCACAGGAGCGCTCGCGCGGAAGCTGCGGCAACCGTTGAAGAGCCCGACGGGGTCAAGCAGGAGGGTCAGACCTTGTCTAGGCCAAAGAGCGAGGCGAGTCGCTTGGGCATTGACAGGCAACGGGAGCGCATCCTCGTCGGGAGCCTCACGAACAGTTACAAGTTCAAACCTGGTGGGTTGATGAAGAAGGTGCGTAATCCCTCCTGTATGCTACCCGTTCTCCTCTACTCGCGGTGTCTCCGCTTCCTTCGCTCGTTCAACGGTTTACTATGGGCCCTGCTCGACTGTCTGCGCGAGCAGGTTCCACGGCGATAAACGTCGTACGTTCCCCTGGTATCCCCAATCCCGCCAAGCTGCCAATCTAGCGCCGCGAAGCCGATTACTCTGACCAGATGTGGAGCACCCAATCCGGTCCTAAGAAGGGTCCATGAGCTGTTCTCGGCGCATATAGCCATTACACATGCCTGCATTGACAGATGCGGGTGAGGCGATCCATTGTCTCTTCCTGCACGACCTTGCAGATTACATGAGAGCATCGTCATTTGACGAAGACCACTCATGAGAAGGCGACCCTCCGTTGTTGAACTGTCACTATATTCGTTCTATCGGCGATGGGTGATGGGCTACCCGCCTGCCCCTATCTCTCCGCGCGCGACCGTCGCTCAACACAACAGCGAGCGTGTCTCTGATTGCTTGCGGCTCGCACAGTGCGTATCACTGAGCTCCGAATGGGTGCTTCTTATCGCTCGCTCTTGCTCAGCCCACAGTCCGCTCCGAGAAGTCATCCTGCGTCCCGCCGTTGTTCAGTGGCTGGCATGTTACTCGTCCGCAACGGTTACCCTGCCAGTCGTCATCGAGGAGTGCACGGTTGTCGGGCTGTCTGTTCGCAGAACAGCCAACCTTCATACTCGCGGCGACGCGTTCGCGTGGGGCTCTAGACCACAATAGCGACCCTGCTGCGAAGCTGTGCCTGGCTGGCGTCCGATGCAGTCACTGGTCTCGCCGCAGAAGCAGCGGTGCGGGGTTCATCCTGCTCTTCTGGGTGGGAATGGCGTCATTGTGCTATTTGTGGCTCCTTGCCTTTGTCACCATGACCCCATTTCTTAGCTGTGCCGTACTTTGCTGAGTCGACATGAACGCCACTTCTGCTTCGGCGGACCAAGTCCACGACACTGGCGCGAGAGCCATCACACGCGTTCCTGACCACGCTTAATCCCGCCACACCACGAGTAATTTGTTGTAAGTCTGGTGCAGGCGGCAAGCAACGTTCATACGCAGGTCGGAGGGTCTGGGTCGTCCTTGGGGTACCTTCTATCGGCGTTATCTGTGACGGGATTGGGCTTTTGTGGTCAGCAGAACCTTATAAGTAGCGAGGAACCGGCTTCCCTTCCTCGTTGACAGATCGCGCGGCCGCTCTGGGGCATCAATGCAGACATGCCGTCAACGTGCGGCATTGGCGTCACCGCGAGTTCCGTTCTATGAACGCGAAACCCTTTACCACGTCTATTCCAATTACACCGAATGAGAGTCGTAGTGCTGACCGTGTGTCGTAGACGTTCTCGCTCACCATTGGCGGCGTCGCCCAACACCTGATCTCTTACTACAAGATCGAAGACGTCGAGCAAGGGCGCCTGCGGTCTCCGTCATCGCTACCCGAGCTTGCGTCGCTGACGATCAGCCCGGAATACCTGGACAAGACGCACTTCCGTAATCCTCCGAAGGTGGAAATTGGCGTCGATGGGATCCCCCGTTACCGTGGTGAAGCCGACGACGTCGACCTGTCTCCTCGTCTCCTCCCCGCACCGCTCTCGAATGGGTACTACGCCGACGGCGATGCTGGAGGGTCCAAGCGTGCGAAACGGTACGAGCCGTACGGGTCCACGGGCTCGAACCCTCCGAAGCGCTCGCGGAAGAAGAATAATTCGGCTTCGAGCCAGTCAGAGGCCACTGGGGGCGAGTCGCCCACGCAGCCAATGGCCTCCGTGCACCAGCCTGCGCCAGGGTACCCTGACCCCAGCGTCTCCTCCCATTACGCGCCGTATGGTGGCTATTACCAGGCGCCGCCGCCACCTGCCTATCCTCTCCCGTACTCTCCTGCGCCCTATCCGGCAGGTCTTCCGGCTGCTGCGGCTGCCACAACGCCTCCCCAGGAGAGTCCCTCGCCTCCACCTGCCTCCACTACCGCGTCTTCCTCGACGTACACAACGTACACCGCTGACGCCTCGTCGGCGACTTCGGCATCAGGGTACGCGTACTACCCTCCCCCGCCGCCTCACGGCTACGCTGCGTATTCAGCGATGCCGCCGTGGCCGCATTACAATGGGAGCTATGCGCAGGCTGCTGCGTCGTCGGCAACGACGGGGAGCGGGACGAGCATGCAGGAGATTGGCGAGAGCGACGTCAGGAACAGTGCTGGTGGCGGCACCGGCACTGTGGCGGGAGGCGGCACCGGTGGCGGCGGAGGGGCGTGAGCGGTGCGCATGCGCATCTGTATGTGCATGTAGACCTTCTCTTCAGCTGTGCTCTCTGCCTCTCTGCTCGTCGTCGTCGTCGTCTATGCTCTCCCTCGCTATCTGCTCGTCGCTTGTCCTTGTTCTGGTTCCTGATGTGGTCTGTGTACGATAGTCGTCGCTTCCTTGGGCCTTGTGTGTTTCGGGCGCCCCCCGCTCCCCGCCCCGTCGCGCTTGTTGTTTGTTTTCCGTAGCTGATACGAGTTCTCCCGTCTATGCCTCCAGTATCGTACAATTGCATCGGTCCGCCAGTTTTAGGCCGTAGTCCGTACCCCTCTGTACCAGTAGCCCTAGTCTCTCCCTCCTCCCACTCCCATCCATCACATCACACTCGGTAGACGTTGTGCGCCCTCGAAGTTGAAGTAGTAGTCGCTAGTCGTTACTCTTCTCATCTGTACCTATACGCTGTTTTGTTTCCTCTCCCGCGGTGCCTCAGACGCGCCCGCTGTCGTGTTCTTTTTGTACGACCATCCCCCTGTCCCCCCGATCGCTTCTTGTTCTCTCCGCGTACCCGTGTCCGTGTCCGTGTCCGTGTCTTGCGTCTCGGTCGCGTTGTAGTCTTGGTGTTTCCTCTTTCTCCCGTCTCCTGCCCCACGCGTACGTCTACCTCGACATGTCGCTGCTACTCTGTCCCATGCTACGAGGACTTGGTCTTCGAGTTTGCGTGTGCGGCAGTCGGGCAGTCTCTACATGCTCTTGTCGTAGATGCAGACGACGGCGCGCGACGTGTGCGTCAGGCAGCGTGCGATGGGGGCCTTCCTCGTTTACGTTCTTGTTCCTGTTCCATGGACAGTTGGTTCCGTCGTAGGGTGTCGAGCAGCAGAAGCCGCGAATGTCAAATGTAAATACTACACACGTCGTTACCTAGATTGTGATCGGACTATGAGCTCTGTGGCTTGAGATCTATGTATGTATCGCTATCGCGTAGTCTGCCTTTGTTGTCGTAAATGATAGACTTTTTGGTGCTTGTTGGGCGGGCGCGCCGCGCAGTGCTAGTGATGGAGAGGTCAGTGGGCAGTCATTGTCTTTTCTCGATTCCCGGTAGCCCTCGATCCCACTCTTCGATGTGCGGTAAGAGTCCGGCACTCGTTGAAACTCGAGACTCGGAAGGCCTTCCGGTCTAGACGGGGAAGTACAGCGGTTTGTATATCGATAGGCCCCTTCGAAAAAACATGCTCAGGTCGGCTGGGAGCCGAACAATATGCGAGCCCAATGGGGTAGTCAGACGCTCCGCAACCTCATCGAGCAGGGCCCAGCGAAGGGAGTTCAAGGCGCCTCAATAGCTCTCTGTCACAAGGCACCAATAGTCACGATATACTGTTGGAATGTGTAAGGGTGCTATCATACAACGGAGGCTGACGCAGTGAACGCAACGAAGTTCAGCAACGTAATTGGTGCTAGATAACCACCTAGAGAATCCTGGGATCTCGGCGGGGCTGGTGACGATGGGGGTAGGAGCAGTGCGCAGCCCTTTCCAGCGCGTGGAGCTTCGGATTCGTGCGTAGGAGCCTTCCAGGCGACGTCGAGCTCGTCTGGCCGTCTTGCTTGGGAACATCTTCGCCGATCTTGTCGTTCAACTTCCAATCTGGATTGTCACGGTAAGGTCGCTCAAGCTTGATACGGAGTTCTTCCAACATCGCATCGTGCGTGAGGCCAAGCTCGCGATAGTCCCAGTCGATTCCCGAGGGCTCGTGCCAGCCCCATGCCTCCCAGGTGGCATAGTGGTCGTTGAACATCCACTCAAGGTCGGCAATCACGTTGTCCATGCGACTATCGAACTTCAAGGCGTGCGGGCCGATAGCGGTGAGCCATTGGGTTTTGATCGCGTACAGCTTCCTGGGGCTGCAACCGAGCTTCTCGTCGCCGTCCTCGTGCGGGTCGAAGAAGTCTTCGATCCAGGCGTCGATCATCGTCCTCGGGATGTTCGTGCGGAGGTACCGCACCCCGTAGAAGAGGATGACCCAGAAGAACGACTCGAGTTCGTCATAGATCTCGACCTCCTTCTTGCGGCGAGTGAGCAGTGCCACGGACTGGAACTGGAAAGTGCCCTGGAAAAAGAAGATAGTGATGAGAATGGCGGTGACATTAGGTATGGTGAAACACATACTGGTCGTGTAGGTTGACGTGCTCGATCCGACCTCTTCTCGTAGTCGATCGGTGTCGTCGTCTTGCTGTTGATGGGTATCGACATCTCCCAGTCATTCAGGAGGCCAGTCCATTCAATGAAGGCGCCATCTGCTTTCTGGGAGATGCGGGGAAGGATCAAAATGTTGCCGCCACTGACATCACCATGCAGGACCGGGTTCGAGGGCAGCGTCGCGGCCTGGCGGTGAGCTGTCGAACAATCTGTTAGTGAGGCTGGCTGAGATAGATAGCCCGACACGCTTACCGTCCAGGCCGCAGGACACGAGGAAGACAAGCTGGCGCCCGTTCTGGAACTTCTCCAAGCTCATGCACACCTCCTTCTCGGCCAGCCGGTAGTGTCGGTACAGTTGGAAAGGACAGTCTTCTAGGATCGCTGGGAGTCCCGAACCAGTCTTGACTCGCTTCGGCAGCGGGATACCGTCCTCGGACCTCCCCGAGTCGTCGTCGCGCTTGCGCTTGAGGGCCCCCGAAGACGAAGGGGCAGAAGGATGCGGATACGGAGGAGCGTCGTGCGTGGGCGACTCTGCAGACTTCGGGGGGTCGGTAGTCCGTGGGTTCTGAGTCCGTGCCCACCAATCGAGGGTCAGGGTGTCTTGGCCCGCGATGTCTCCGTGGCAGATGAGAGTCGGGACATACCCGACACGGGCCTCGTTCAGTCTGCCCAACACGTCGCCTTCTTTGTCGCTGATGAGGTGATGAGCACGCCAGGTGTCCTTCAGCCACACGAGCTCCCCTGTGGCACAGTCCAAGGCAACGTAGCCGCGTGTACCCCGGACCGCCCCACGAGGAGAGCGGAACGTGGGTTTTGCGACGAGGAAGGCGCGGGAAGAGGCGCCGTTGGGTACCTCGAGACGGTAGCGGGGCCAGGGAGAGTTGACGGCTTCGTTGAACATGGCGCGGACGTACTTGAAGACGACGGGACCTTCACGGGATATCTCCCCAGGAGCAAGCTTGCGCTCCTTCTCGTCAACGTCGGTGGGCTGTGGGCGGGCGGCGGTAGTCATACGGACATAGTCCGGATCGCCGGGAGAAAGGCGCGCGGCGGTAGGATCGAAGCCGAGCTGGACGTCCGTGCATTGGCCAATGCGCCAGAGGATGTCGCAGAAGAGCTCCCAGTGCTTGACGTAGTTGAGCGGCTCTGTAACCACGGACCCAGACCGATCCCATCGTACGAAGCGGATTTGGGGGCCGGTGACGACGAGCATAAAGAGAGCCACTCGATGCTGAACAGCGTGGATGAGCTCGGCGCGACTGGCGATTTGATCAAGTGCTCTATCGCGCTGATCATCCGCCGACCCGACACTCTTTTTGGGGTCGTTTGAGTAATCGAAAGAGACGGGGTCGCGGGTGAACTCGACTGGCAATACTTGATCAGCCCAAGGCTGGCGCAAGGAGGCAGTGGCGCGCTCGTTCCGGAAAAGGGCCGAGTCGACCTTACGTGACTGGCAACTAGTAAGATCAGGACGCCGCCCACAATCGCGAAGTCTGAAACCGGGGATGAGATTGTGTTCGTTGACAGCCTTGCTCTGTTCCCGCATGATCAGCACACGGGTTGAAATATGGGTGTCAGTGATAACCATCACTCACAAAGGCAGCTTGGACGACCACTTCGTTCAGCTTGTCTGCGTTTGACAGCGTCGCAAATGGATTCGTCTTTAGTGGTTGCAGTCGCACTTCCCTCGCAGAGGAAATGTTCGGCACAGGAAAGAAGGCGTTGATAAACTCCTCATGTTCCACAAACACTGCAGATTGGGCCATACTAATAGCAAACTGGATTGCCCGCGCCGAATATGGTATTCAAGCATATGGTGTGGTAACCAGGGGGCATATATTGTGAGTTGAGATAGGAAGATTTACGCAGATGAGAAACGTACAGAGGCAGAGAGGCAGGTTGTCGAAAACCGCGTCGTTGTGATTGATTGGGTGCCGGGTGTGTGGCAGGTGGCGTCACAATCGGGAACGATGTCTGATACCCCGAGAGAGGATGAGCCCAGCGAGTCTTTTCCACAAGAACGACGAAGCAAAGTGATGGTGGCCGTCCGAGCGCAAGTTGGGAATCCTTATTGGGTGATGCGACGCTTGAGGCCGAGGCTTGGACTCCCGATTAGCGCCAAAACCGCAAACATTCCTGATTGTTCATAATCAGCTTGTATCTGCCCTGGTAAGAAGCCGTACAGGTTGGTTCATGACGTGGCTCTGTTCTGAAAATGCTCCATATCACTCCCATCTGTGCAGCATGAGCGGCTGGGCGATGTCTGATCAGCTTGGGGTGAACTCTCAGCCTGATGATGTCGCGAGCTAATGCTGTTCCTGCTCCTCTCCCTAATCGTTGCAACCAAACTGCTGCATGCTGATATTAGTTGGGTGTCGGATATGCCTGAGGCGCATTAAGCCGACGCTACGGCGCGACACTCCGCTAGAGACCAAGAGTATAGGGCGTCAGAGGAGGCGTATGGAGACTTTTGATAACTCAGAGGCACTGCTCACTATTCCATACGGGCGTATAATCCCGGTAGTTTCTGATGCATGAGTGTCCGCATATCCGACGAGTCCGTCGGTGCTGGCGCTAAGTAGTTACAAATGTATAGCCTTGAGCACAGCCACACTGCGCTCTCGACGCGAGCCACGGAATCACTGAGTACGGTTGCGATGACCTCAGATCCCCGACCGCGACGTGTCGGCCAAGCACGAAGGACTGAACAAGAAAGCTACACTCATTGCGATAGATATACACGATATTGTATGCTAGAGACTGCAATAGGGTAAGATATCGTACGTAGTGGTGAATATGGTTACATGATGGCAGCAACGAGAGCGACAACCAGCGTAGACGACCGCGGACGGCATAGTCACCTATTCCCACTCTAGTATAGGGTGTCCAGTCTTGAAAACAAAAGGTGGCTTCCTCTGAGGCGTCCTGGGTTCACGCGGCGGCAGGTCGCCAGGCGCAGTGAGGCGGGAGAAGGGCATTGCCTCTCTCTCGTCCTCGAGTTTCGGCTTCTCGAGTCTCGGCCTCTTGATGTGGGCAAGGGTGGCAGGGAGGGTAGGCCCGAAAACCTGGGCCGGGGGATGGTAATCCTTGGGGATACGCTCGCCGACCTTGTCGTCCATCTTCCACGCCAAGGCGTCAGGTTTCTCAAGATCGATGGCTCCGGCGAGCCAATCATGCATATCACGATGCGCTTTAAGCAGGCCGGAGAGTTTTAATTCCTTCTCTGACGGGCGTTGTTCGGCTTGACTAGGCGTTGTTGACATGACTTCTTGCAGCGCCTGGGACTTGGATGGCCGACGGCGGCGGCGAGCGCTGAAGGACTTTACCACAGATGTCGAAGTAGATGCGTTACGAGACGCTGAGGGGTTATTTTTGAGCTCCTGGGACTTCAATTCGTGCATAGTGACGGTATGATGGGCCTTGAACCACGAAAGGAGTTCAGCGATAACGTCGTCCATCGGGCTGTCGAACTTCAGAGTTTTCCCCGCCGAGATAATGAGTTTGCCGTTTTCGATCGCGTTCAGTTTCGCCTGGCCGCAGACATATGTCTTGCCGTCAAAGCCATATGTATCAAAGAAGGTGTGGATCCAGGTTCCGATCACCCCGTCGCCGATGTTTGATCGAAGGTAGCGCACCGCATAGTAGAGTATGACGTAGAAGAATGACTCCAGCTCGTCGCAAATCTCGACCTCTTTCAGGCGGGACAGTATTGCTACAGACAGAAATTGCCAGGTGCCCTAGTGCATCCAAATGAGGGAAGTTATCATAAGAGGATTGATGGAGCACTTACTGTGCGCTCAGGTTGACTTGCCTCGCCCGCCACGCCGTCTGGCAGCGGTTTAGACATCTCCCAATCGGTGAGAAGACCGGACCATTCGATATAACTACCACCGGGTTCTTCGTGGAGGCAAGGAAGGATGAGGATGTTGCCGCCGCTGATGTCACGATGAAGTATCTTGGTAAAGGGCTCGGGAAGCGTTGCGGCCTGAGAATGTGCTGTGGATCATTGATCCCACTAGACTAGGTTGAACAAAGCGGGGACGCATACCAACAAGACAATCCAGCACGAGCGAGACGAGCTGCAACCCGTGCTCGAATTTCTCCAAGGACATGCACACCTCCTTCTCCACCAGACGATAGTGTTGGTGCGGTCTAAGAGGAGATTAATCCTGAGACCCCGATGATGCACCAGTGCCAGTGCCACCGTCGGCTCCCTTCGGCGGCGCGACACTGTCTTTGGACCTCTCATCATCATGCTTGCGCTTCATGGCCCCAGAAGACGGAGATGGAGATGGAGATGGAGACGGAGACAGTGAGAAATCACGCCCCACAGACTGCGATGAGGCCAGGTCGGCAGCTCGTGCGTGCTTGTCTTCCCACCACTTGGGGGTCAGAGTCTCCTGACCCGCGATGTCACCGTGACAGATGAGGGTCGGGACGTGCTTGACGTTTGCCTTGTTGAGCATGCTCAACACATCACCCTCCTTCTCGACGAGGAGGTATTGAGCGCGCCAGGCGTCCTTCAGCCATACGAACTCTCCGGTAGCACAATCCAAAGCGACGTAACCACGGGTGCCGCGGCCCGCCATGCCTCTCGCACGGAACGTTGGTTTCGCGACAAGAAACTTGCGAGTAGAGGACCCGTCGGGTACCTCTAGACGGTAGCGGGGCCAGGGAGATCTGACGGCGTCTATGAACATGGCACGAACGTACTTGAAGACCCGTTTCTTAGGCAGCTCGCCAGGCTTCAGGTCCCGCTCTTTCTCGTCGACGTCGTCATCGTGTGAGCGGGCGTAGCTACTCATGCGGACAAAGTCGCGCTCGCCGAGATAGAGGCGTGTCGCAGTGGGATCGAGGCCGAGTTGAGTGTCAGTGCATTGGCCAATCCGCCAGAGGATGTCGCAGAAGATCTCCCAGTTGTGGACGTAGTTGAGGGCCCTCGTAACCACAGCCCCAGACCGATCAAATCGTACGAAGCGGACATTGACACCGACGACGACGAGCATGAAGAGGGCCACGCGATGCTGGACGGTGTAGACGAGCTCGGCGTAGCTGATGATCTGACCGCGGACCTTCCTGCGGTTCTCGGTCTCGGTGCTGATATTGGCCTTCTCGTCGTCGAAGGGGTCGACCGAGACGTCGTCGCGTTTGAACTCGACTGGTAGTATCTGGTCGGCCCAGCTCTGGCGAACGTCGGTAGGGGCATGCTCGTTCCGGAAGAAGGCAGCGTCGACCTTCTGGCGTTCTGGATCGAGAGTCGAGGGATCAGGACGCTCTCCACACTCGCGAAGCTTAAATCCGGGGACGAGATCGTGATCGTTGATGGCCTTGGTCTACATATGGGTAATGAGTATGTTGTTCGGTAATCCAACTTTCCTAACCACTCACGAATGCGGCTCGGACGACGGCTTCATTCAGCTTCTCCGCGTCAGACAATGCCGCGAAAGGGTTTTCGTGGAGTTGAGGCCGAGAGGGTGTGTCGGATGTATTCTTTGGATTAGGGAAAAAAGCGTCGAAGAACTCCGTCTGCTCGGCGTGAACGGCTTTGTGGGCCATGTCGTCGGCGAACTTGCGTCGTCTCTGGTCAAGCTGTTCGCGATTAGAATCGGCGAGAATAGACTGTTCGTCACGAGTGCGGGAGCCGTGAGACAGAGGGGTGCCAGTAACAAGGTGGAGTGTGTCAGTCATGATGAGGACGTGAGAGCAGCAAAGGAACATACTGAGGGAGAGGCGCCTTATATCTGGTCGACGATTTCGCTCGCGGGGTAGTGGCTCGGACCGGCAGGGAAGGTGATGGTAGAAAATGGAGATGAAGTATCCGAGACCTGAGTCAAGTACTAGAACTGGGGAACAATGCGTTTTGCCCCGACAAAGCGAAGCGATGGTGGCCGTTCGAGTCCAAGTTGGGATGCCATATCGGGCGCCGCGAGGCTCGCTTATGATCGCAATAAGCGCCGAAACCATCAACGCTCATCGATCACAGTGGAACTGTATGTAAGGTAGCATTGATGAAATACGAATATGGTGTGGAAATCAGCTTCTGCGAACTTTAGGGTGAGATGCGCCAGACGAGGGTTGTAGACTTGGGCAGGGCTTTTGAAGTGACGGTGGTTAGTAGACTTGCGACAGGAAGTGGCACAGCCACCTCGCCCCGTCCCTGCTCGCACGACGGGCACCACTTAGCATCGCTCTTTCTGAAAGTGTTGTAAATCTTCTGGGAAAGTATGGCTCTCATGTTTACGACCTTTTCTGCGCCTGTTGGCGTGCGTCGGCAACGGGATGGGATAGGACTGCCGTTTCACCCGAAGGGATACCAAGCAGTGCTCGAGCCAAGACTGCAGCTCTATTATTAGCACATCACGGAACTAGATGTGTACCAGAGAGTCATTTTGCCAAATCAGACACCTGATTCTCATAATGTACATACTGCAGAGCAATGCGCGGCGCGGTGCTTGACTGCCGAGGTCATGGCGGAGACGGAGCGGGATTGATTGTGCCCATACACGGGCATTGGCCAATGTCCCGGACCCAAACTGGGACAGAGAAATGGCCTGGGAATGGATGCCTGTCACAGGTTCTGTCCCAAAGCCTAGCTCCGGACCCGAGCCATCCGGCGCTTGAACCCCTAAAGGGAAATACCAATGCTGACAAAGCCAATCACATAAGCGCATATACACAGTTCCGAGCGCCAATATCCTCTTTATAGTATCAGAGCGCCCACTGGCTCGGGTCCGGAGCTAGGCTTTGGGACATAACCTGTGACAGGCATCCATTCCCAGGCCATTTCTCTGTCCCAGTTTGGGTCCGGGACATTGGCCAATGCCCGTCGTGATAGCTGTGCTGGGGCAAAATACCTCTTTTGTCATGGGGAGACCAAGTCGGGCTGCAGGACAAACGCCCGCAGCGGTGGCACCCACGAGCGTGTTCCGGGCGATCAAAAGAAACACGGAGCTTTGATGGCCACCATAGATGGTCAGCCGGACGGCCACCGTTGTGATTTTGTATTTTGCTATACAGGCCTCTGCCATTCGACAATAGTGTTATTGTGTTTTCTGGGGAGTTCGAACGATACTGTGGTCTCGCCGTTAGTCTTCGCTCGCAATTAACGCTGCTGAGGGTCGGCAACCTCCACGCACCAAACACAAATTACACCGTCAATGCAAGAGTGCAAGGTCGTGACGGACGTTAGCCACTATTTTGACATCGTGGAGAGTTTTGACCTTTCGGCGGCCTTGTGGTTGTCCGGACGGATGGCTGCACTGTACTGTATCAGATCATCAGCAGTTGATATACCGTAGAACAAAGTAGCTGGCGCAATGAGTCGGTGTCCTTGGGCTGTGACTAGAGGGAATGTGCCGGTCCAGCATGGTAGGATCTCGACAAACATACACATTCCATGAAATTCCAAGAGCAAGCTGTCAATGTAAGATCCACGTTACATCTTACCTGCGAAGATCGGGCGCGACATTCGACAAAACCAAACTCAATGCCAGGAGCGTGGATTGAACACGCGACCTCCAGAACTTCAGTCTGTTGCTCTCCCAGCTGAGCTATCCCGGCAGTCCTGCGGAGTCAGCTAAGGTCATTCACAGTCAGACGGCGAGGTGATGACTCAGAGCATATGTCTTGACTTCTTAAGCCACAGACCGTTTAGCTTCTACTAACTCTCATACGCACTCCCCTGATTTCTTCCCAATATCCGACCCTCCATCCCTCTTCACGCTCGCCTGAGGCAGCGCAAAGTCCGTCTCCATTCGAGTCTCCACCGTCCTTGTCACGTTGAGGTTGATGATCGTCGGCGGGTACCCGGTGCCAGTGTTGCCATCCTGACTGCGACACGCCTGCATGCGCGAAAGCGAAGCTAGATCCACGATGCCCAGCCTGGCACTTTCGATCTCCGACCATGAGAACCCGAGGCCCACGCGGACGATGATGAGCATGAAAGAGATGCCGGTCGCGGCGGGTATGCAGTGGAATGCGAACGCCTCGAGAGTGGAGGATGCGCAGTAGGACACGAGGAAGAAGAGGATCCAGAAGCTAAGTATGGTCACAACGAGTCCGAGTCAGTGTGCAGTTCAAGTATGAGTGAAGTATACCACATACGTGTACAGCGCGGCGCTTTCTACAAATATGACCAGGGCTTCCTAGGAAACGACTGGGATATGGGTTCGATTCGACACCAGAAACAGTGCAGGCACCTACCGAAAGACTTAAGGCTGGTGCCAACATGCGTTCGTGTTTCAGGGCTCTGTTGGTGGACCAGATACGATATGCTATGGAGCCTAGGAGAGTCAAGTGAGTGGACCCTGACATTCATTACGGTAGAATGGTCATACCTGTGCCATATATATTCGTCCTGTAGGTCAGATTTAGAGTTGTTTCCTGCTACCAGAACTCAAGGAACTCACGAGAGCGTCAACGCTGCCGTTGTGATCACCCGGCGCTGAGATGCAAGCGCAAAAATACTCTCCCCTGTCTTGAAGGCTGCGAATAGCTCGACAACGCAGATTCCGGCAGCTGAAATGCAAAAGGTCAATTGATTTTGCTCATCGATACGCCATATGATGGATGGCCTGTGCATACCGATGTACGCGCAAATGCACATTGCGGGAAAAATCACCATAGCGAGCTTCCTATCCCATACAACCCAGACTCGGTATGTCTAGGCGGCGAAGCGACCCGGGAATAAGGAGTGCGGCGCCGCTTCATACTCCAACAGACGCACCAAGATGATGTCGCCCACTATCACGGAGGTGATGACAGACGCGGTCGCCACGACATGAGGAATTGCCTCTACGATGAGATAGTACTGTTCAGGATGTTGCCCGTTGTCGTACACCAACAGCGCTTGGAAGAGCCGCAGCACCGTTGCGCACCAATGCTACGTGTGGTCCACGATGAGCACGCAGCTGCGGGCGATGATGCAGCACTCACCCCGCTGACTGTGATTAGCAGTAGAATGGTCCCAAGCAGTAGTGGAGACCTCAGAGCATGGCCGAAAGAGAGCGACGGAGAGGTGGTAAGGGGGGGCCTCCCGTGACGTGCAATCAGCACCGCCAGGGACGTTATCGCTAACACGAAAAAGATGCCAAAGAGCGCGCTTTCGACGCAAGTCAGGGCAAGGTTCACGCGTAGGACAGAGACGACGGCCATCCGAGTCGTAGTGGCAGCCGAGCAAGTCGGCAGGTCTGGCCTCTCGGACCCACACCTTTATAACAGACGCGAGAGAATAGAAGGACACCAGGAATGGGACACCTGATCAAGGATGGGGATATCAGGATACAGCTTCGAAGAAGACGTGGAATGGGAAATGGCGCACTTCCCGCTCACGCTTGACTAATGATAGATATATACTGAGCTGATGCATCGAGGCTCATTCCAGAGTTGGTAAGGCTATGCGTGAATGCACAAGAGACCTGCGTCTCTGCTCCTCGCCTCGATTCCGGGCTGCCTCCGAGGTAGGCAGACTCGGAGAGAACGCGAAGACGGGTTATACAGAGATAGTATGAGAGCGGCGACTCGGACTTACCAAAGCAGCAAACGGGAGATCCACATGCCCTACGATAACGCGGTTTCCAGATATGCGATTATGGTGCGAAACGCTTGCCGCGTGGCGGCGTTTGCTGGGCTGTGCCACCTCCTTACGGCCCATCAAGAGCATTGCGCAGGAAATCGGGAGGTCAGCGCATAAGATTCCCTGCATTCAGCGGTTTGATTCCGTGTTTCTCTCTCCATCTGTCATTAATGCTGGCTTCCTTGAAATGGATGGCTTGCACTCCAGCTCGATAGTACCGAAGGGGGGCGTTGGCCAAAGACGTAGATAGGCGTCTAGATAGTCCTAGTATCCACAACTCACAGCTTCTTCAGTTACTGCTTGCGTGGCGTTGAAGGATCTAGTGAGAGAATAGATATGTGAGGACAGAACCACACAGACAAGGAGTGAATGAACAGGTCATCGAGGTTGCGAGACACGCATCACCGCATATCAGGCGCTTCACAGGACCCGCACAGCCTCTTCGCATCCGCTCGATTTAGCAATAATGTGGCTGAGTTCGGGTTTTGAGCACTCGCAGCACCGTAGCAGTCATCCATGGGCTGCTACATGAGGAAATACAGGGCACCAATTCAAAACAAAAGTAGACGTGTGCTACGGTTCGAGCTCTGCGATGATTGAGAAACACGGGCACTTGCAGCTAGTAGCAGCCTGAACAAAGCAGGGGCCACAGTAGCAGCAACACGACTCGCCGGAATGTACTATGTAGGTATGTTGAGGTCTCACCCTCGCACCATACTGAACTGTTAGCAATGAGAAAGCCGGCGACCTGGACACAAAGTCCGAATGAAGTACATCACCGTCTTGCGATTCTCATCATGGAGGGGCATGAAGGCTTTCCGACGAGAGTGAAAATTCGCGTTCCCTGTCGTCTGATTGGAAGGCGTATGTCCCGACATGCCACATATATCAAGTGATTCCAGAAGGTTAGGCACGTGGAGAGAAAACTGGACGCAACTAGGCTGTGATCACGGAAAATCAGGGGCGACTTGGTCTTCGCCTTCCACCGTTGGCAACGGCACGCGTCCTTGGGGAGGTGTGCGTACGGTGCACATGCAAGAGCGCTAGATGGAACAGACCTGCTACGAAGTCGCGTGTCATGAAGACTTCTTCCACCCTCCGAGCTCGATAGCAAAGCCAACAGCGAGCTTGGAGAACTCGAGCATGTGCTCGAAGCTGAACTCATCTGAGATGTCGTATGTGCTGCGGATGATACCGAAGTCAGTACGTATAGCGCTTGTACAGAATGTCGGACTTCGCGCACTCGTTCTGGGTATGGACATACTGAACATTCACGTTCTCGTATGCGGACTCTAATGGATCAGATCACGGGGTGGCATAGGAAAGCCAAACATGAGCACCGTCAAAAGACATGGGCAATGCCGACGTGCGCACCTATCGTGAACACGCTAGGGTATCCAGCCTTGTTCCACGAGGCACTTTGAGATTGGGAGGAAAGTCTCAGTGTGACGCCTAGGAATTACTTATAACATACTGGTCGCTGCATGCGTGACCGCACTTAGTCTCTACCCAGGGGACAGAGAGGTACTGTTCCACGAGTTTCTTGTTGAACTCAGTCAAGCTGCAAGCAGTGCCACGGTGAGCAGGCGTGGCGTCTAACGCTCGATGAATGCTAGCATACTGACTCTGGATCAGTGTAATCAGTGACAATTCCAACCTCCTCCTTGGTGCCGCGCTTGACCCATGCAGTCATGTCATACTGTCGGCGAACGCTGTGAGACTGCGATAGAGTCTAAGAAACGATGAATACGAACCTGACTCATGGCAATCACGTTGACGCCGCGACTCTCGTAGGACTTCACCACCGCTTGAGATCCGAGGAGCCCTCCTTCCTGACGAAGTTCAAGGGATATGAAGCCGCACGCTTCTGAGCTATAGACATGCACGATACATACCTCGGCAGAATACCAATGGAATTCGACGGTGCGCTCCGGCCGGAATCCTGCCTCAATCAAAGCGCGATAGGCTTCCAAGATACTGGTTGTCCCAGAGCCGTCGTCGTCAGCACCTGGGGCTATTGTCAGAAGAGTTCTGTAGAGGATTAGATGGCATACTTACCGGGGGCAGGCAGGAACGGCGAGTCATTGGTACTAACGAGGTCATTGGTAAGGCGATAGCACGCGAGCGGTTTATGCTGGTGTACAGACCTGTCCAAGTGTGCGCCGAGGATGACGACACCATCATCGTCCGCAGAAGTGCCGTTGATGCCAACAATCTGGGGAGGACGCTCCAGTGAGACCAGCGGGCAGAAACGTAACTGAATGCACATACAATGCTGCTCTGCTGCCAACTGTGGTCGAACTCGCGAATAGAAATGCTCTCTTGCAAGGCCTCTGGAGCGTACTCCTCTGTAAGCTATGCAAAATCAGGTGAGACCCCGGCTGTTACTCGATTATCAGCTGTTTTACTTCGGTGATTTTTCTCAACAGCCATCGCTGACTCTCCTTCCCCGTCTAGAACTCGATCAATACACCGCGTGCTACAAGCGCTCAGCATGCGTGTGCAATAATACCTGACTACGATAGTCTGGATAACGTACGTCTTGTGAGCTGGGTTGCGTAGACCCCAGTGGGAGCTGACTTACGGCGTGTGCGGAAGCTCGTGAACTTGGCGAGTATATCCTGGAGATTCTGGATCTTCAATGACTCGATGACAGACTTCACCGTTTGGGTGTTGTTAGGCGCAGGGTAGGAGGCTAATACGGCGTCCCGCTCAACGTCGACCGCAAAGGCTGTTAGGTTCAAGGCACAACACACGTTTGTTGGCAACCCTGAGGTGTGCGCGAGTTCCGAGTTCGGGGGTGTCGGTTCTGGTGCACTCGATGAGTGCATATGAGGACATTTACCATGTGTAGGACTCACACGTCAAAGAACCTAATACCATGAGCCTTCGCTTGGATCTCGATATTTTCAGGACGCGAATAAGGTGCAGAGATGACTAAGAATATGCATACCTTCTCAAGTTCTGTCATGATCATAGGTTCCTCCTGACCCTCGAGCTGCACCAGACAGGGCGCGCTCAGATCGAGGTCAAATCCGGGGTGCGACTCAGTCGTAACAACGTCGCCCATCATCGGCTGCTGGGCATTGTTGTCATGAAAAGACAAGGCCGGGGTCGCAACCGCAGCCGAGACGAGAGCGAAGGGGACAAGGAACTTCATGCCTGGCCTCTACGACGGGCTACGGACGAATGAGGGGTGATGATGTACTCATGGTCGCTGTGCGGACAGGATACATATACTATCAATGACCCGCCTCAGGCTGTGCACCGTCGGGACTCGGGACCGTCGCTTTAGACGCTCAGGCAATGTTGGTAAGTAAGTAAGTATAAAGTGTCGCGGCTAGCCCCGGCCCGTCGCCGTTGATCCACATCCGGGACTCTTGGTAGCAGCCCCACTTACTTGGGCTGCGCTCACTGCGGCGCTTAACAATATCATCATCATTTGCCATCGCACAGTTTATTCCTCCACTTTCTGTGTGATGCTTCATAGAAAATCACTTATATCAACATCCTCTGTAGCAGATGGTCCTAAGTAGTTGTTGTATTTCCCGGCACCGGTCAAAGCGCACGCGCCCTCCCGACGTCGGTATTTCCTTTTTCGTACTTATTTGCAATTCCCGTATCTTTTGATCGTTACGATACACGTCCGATAGTGCCTTACGGCATTGCTCATATACGCGGGACCTCCCACCTCACCGTTCGTACCCCGAACGCTGAGGTGAGCCCTTTCTCCGTACTATACCACCATATTATTGGCTCACATTACGTAGCAATACATTCGGTTACCTTCTAGGTCCGCTACTCTACTGATTCGAGAACGTTTACCATTTCATGCAACTGGCTACGTAGCAGGCTGCGTAACCACGTATTCACGCAGTCGATTGATGGCGAAGCTTGCCAAGCTCTGTGTGTATGCAGCCACGCAGTCGTGTGACTGCGCGTCTATTGTAAGTTGTACATGGAGCGCCCTCTGGCAGGAGTTCGGCGAAGGGCATGGCTCAAGTCTATATATCCTGCAAACCCCTTGAGTAGACTCATTTTGAGCGCATTGAGAACTGGATAAATGGTAGAGAATATTTAGACTATAGTCGATCTACATTGCGCAAGGAAAGACCTTTGTTGCAGGGGCCACTGAGAACCAAGAATAAGATCCTTAGCGTCGTTTACCCGACTCTGCGATTACACGACTGCACGCTTGTGTTGTAACTGCGAAAGCGAACGCGCGACTGTGTGCATGCGTGGCTACGTAGCCAGTTGCGTGGAATTGTAAACCCTCTGACTGATTCACACCGTTCGTACCGGGCCGAACGCTGAGCATTACATTCGTTTACCTTCTAACTCGCCGGGCGGCTCGAAATCTTATACTAGTAGCCCACCCAACCGACGGAAAGGTCAGGTTTCTAAGCAAGAGACTTGATGATGTAGGCTCGAGGCCGTAGCGGACAAGACTCGGTAGACATGATGAACAGTTCGCGAAACATGATATCACTGTGCCACGGGCGCTTCCCAGGACCCGTCCGTGCATTCGCTCGATTCGGCAAAAACATGGCGGCTGACTGCGCTTCTCCGCCCTTTGGGGAGACTGAGCTCCGGCACGACGCATCCATCCAGCTGCTACACGAGGTACGCTACTACACATACAATGTAAACAATCCACCTAGACCGACTCTGCTCTATCCTTCGTCAGATCCTTGAACGTCTCGTCTACGCTGCCCCTCCTCCCCTTGTCCCCAGGCGACTGCGGCAAAGCAAAGTCCGTCTCCCGCTCGACGGTTCGTGTCACATTCAGCGTGATCATGCGCAGCGGATACGGCTCCCCCGAGTCCTGTCCACGGGTTGGCAGGCGTCCGACAACCGGCACGCGCGTCGTGACTCCTAAGCTCTCCCCTGTATCCTCGGACCAGGAGAAGCCGAGGCCGACGCGGACGATGATGAGCATGAATGAGATGCCGGTAACAACTGGGATGCAATGGAAGGCGAAGGTTTCGAGGAGTGAGGAGGCGGAGTATGATACAAGGAAGAAAAGCGTCCATGACCTGGAGCGGCTCAGCATGGCGATTCGTACGGATAGGTGCAGCGACGTACGTGTAAAGCGCCGCGCTCTCGATGAAAATGACTAATGCTTCCTGTACGATAGGTTCGCTGCCAGATCGCTTTGAACGACTATGAGGAGAGACTCACGTATAAGCCTATACTGGAGCCCTTCATGCGGCCATGTTTCATAGCTCTGTTAGTCACCCAAATGCGATATGCGATGGAGACTAGAGGGTCGAGTATGGAACAGCACGCGAGATACGAAGAACGCGACGTGCTCACCTGTTCCGTAAACATTTGTCCTGAAGCAGAGTTCGGCCTGAGTCAGCAGAGGATCAATCTATAAACCCATAGTAAGAACTCACGAGAGGGTGAGTGCTGCAGTAGTTATAATCCGTTTCTGGGAGGCTCTCACAAATATGCTTTCTCCTCTGTTGAAGATCGCAAACAGTTCAACGACACTTGTGCCGGTGGCTATGCAAGTCGCAAGTCAGTTTTGTCGACTTGAACGCTCATAAACTATGAGCATACCCGTGTATCCCAACGTGCATAGGATGGGAAAAATGATCATTGAAAACTTCCTGTGCCAAACGACCCAGATGCGGTACGTCTTGATCGCCGTCATCAGGAGACAGGCTGACGACAGTTGATGTACACTCACCAGAATGATATCTCCCACTATAACGGACGCGACTACAAACGCAGTGGCTACGACGTGCGGCTTCGCTTCTACTGTTAGGTAATACGCTGAAGCTTGTGTCCCGCCCGTTTCGTCCCTGATTGCTTCGTAGAGACGTATGACTGTGGTGATCCAGTGCTAAGGCCGATAAAGCATCAGGAACGCGTACAGAAGTCGAAGACATCGGCGTATAAGACTCACCCCGGTGACGGTTATGAGTAACATGACGGTACCCATGCATAGCGGGGACTGGATTACACCAGCTGGCGACAGCGATGAGCTTAGACCGGTGTCTTTCCCATGCCGGGCGATGAGGACCACAAGAGAGGTGACAGCGAGGACGACAAACGCCCCGTAGAGTGCGCTCTCCACGCAGGTCAGCGCGAGGTTCACTCTGAGAGCTGTAACGACAGGCATCCGCAACCGCAGAGATGCTCAGTATGCCTGTCCTAGATGGAGCGCAGGGTTGTGGTGGGGCGTCGGGCAATGAAATCTTTATACTACATTCAGTGATGCTGCAAACGTGAGAGGAGAAGTTACAATCGATCTCATCGCGGTGTTCATAGTTGTGAGGGTCGCTTCTTTAAGTTTGTTGATCAGTAATTGACCCGAATGGAGCACTGCTGTTCACCAATCAAAGTGGCTTTACACTCACGGCTCTATACTTCAAACGCTAGTGCTTCGAGCCGCATGGCCTCTATAGGACTGGTTCCCTCCGCGGCCTTGCATCGTATTGGGACGCCAACGAACTCGACCGAAGTTTGGACATTCAAAATCAGCGTGATTAGCATTTTATAAGGAACTGAGAGAGGGGTGAGACAGCCATGCAATTCGCATCATGATGTCATGCAGGCCAAGTGTTTCACCAGAAACAGCCCTGAGCTGCGACTGAACAGTTGAGCGAGGTAGTCCATGCCGCACGGCCCCTTCGTAATCGTTGCACAGGATATGTGATGAGAATTCAGCAGACCTTCCGATGAGAGCCCGTAAACGTGCTGTGTGGCTCCCGTTAGCTGCGTATCGGCGAACATCACTGTAGAAGTCGACGGCGCTGTTCCTGTTGCTTTCCGTTCGATAGCAGCATGGGAAGAGTGTACCCTGTGAATGGTTGTGAACGTCAGCGATAGTATTCTTGGTGCAATGGACGACATTCTTGTGGCCGCGGTGATCACCGTGTTTCACCTACAAAGCCCTCTAGATCCATACGGAATCAAATACGCGAGCATCTGTACAGAGTGTCATGTCAACATACATGAGTGCGATAGCAGAGAGAGTTTCGGCGAGAGAATGGCCTGGGAAGGCGGAGTTCACGGTCACCGTCGTCATGAAGAAGATTACGGGCGCCAGCTCGCCATCGCCACCGCACGTGGCACTACTTTTCGGATACTGGCAATTACCATTGATGCTGGTCACCTTCAACTTGCCTCCTGCTATCGTGCTTTCGGGGGTATGGTATGTACAACTCTCAGCCCTTAGGCTACTACGCCCAGGTTCGAGGATTCGATGTGATATCACCTCGCATCTATGCCAGCTATACCTAGGACTCGGAGTCGGCCTCTCCCATGGACTGCAACCGCGCAGTTCTTCTATTGATACATGTCTCTGGTTCTCATGCGCTCGCGGAGCATGCACTTCGCCTTCTACGATGCGAACAGCACGTTCACGTCAACACTTCAATCACTCCTCACGGCACAGGCCTCCCAGCGGCCTTCCTGCGGCGCCTCGTAAGGCCCGTTTGTTTCCGTTGGTGTCGGTCTGACAGGAATGTCTCGAGGTTTGTCATCATCACGCGCGTTGATATCATTCGCGAGTCGCTGTGCGATGTATGATCGAGTTTACTATTTTAGTGACAGGTACTCGACTACTTCGTACACCCGAGCATCCCGTAGTACCTACCTGTCGCTTCTCGCGCCGAAGGTGCAACGTCATACCCCTTCGCTGAATCTCTTCCCCCACGATCGCCTTGAGCTATCTGTACCCTGTGAGTTTGCACTCCTCGCATTTGCCGCATCATACCAGGACCATTCAGCATCTCGCCGACTATATAACCTGCAAGGATGACACCGTCGCGCGGATTATTTCATCCATACTCTATGCGACGCTTCATAAGTACTTATCATATTTTCCAATGTAATAATCGGTCCCAGTATCCGCCCTGATTGTCATAGAGGTCAGATCTCCAATTCCTGCCACGCTCCCCTGGACTCATCAGACCGATGGCAGTGAGAAGAGTCATCGGCAAGGTAGTCTGGAGATTTTGCCGGTATATTAGAATGAGGCCGTTACAATTAATCACGAGTTACAAGGTACGATGAGAGTACGAGAAACTTCTGCTAGAGACCCAGCGAATGAGTCATTCGCAATGATACCTTCGCGTCCAATGTACGATAAGCGAAGGTGGAGGGAGTAGATTCGCGGAAGAGACACCAAACGAAAGAGGTCAACGCGCGAATGACAGCGACGCAGGCGCGCAGATGATCTTGCTCTCGCCGACTTGTTTGTGAACGTTGCTATGGTATGGCTCTCCGTATTTGTGATGCCTCCGCCTCAGTATGAGCTGGCCGCCCTTGAAACCCAGTGAGAATCGACATGGTCTCTACTGTATTAGGTCGATTAGTACGGTATGCAGTAGGGAACCCCGAAATAATACGAACTTCCGTGCATATCCCCACTTCAGCTGTGTGCGGTCAGATAAGGCTGTATGGTCGCACAATGCCATACGACCATACATCGGGTCAGTTTGTGTGTTATCGGGTGCGGCTGGTTACGCTCGGGTCGCACTCGGGTCTGGTTGGGCAGGGATGGTTGTTGTCGATATGTGTCATTGAATACAAATTAATTAATACTGTATACGGTCGTATGGGAACGTATGGCTACACGGTGCTATATACAGCTACAATCGAGAACTACAGAATAGAGCGGGAGCAGACTGGAAATGTTTGGACACGTGGAATACTGACAGGAGTAGCCTTTCATCCCACTGGCATGGGAGCCGCCCACCTTGCGAGCCACTGAAACAGGTGGGAGGCCGATGCCTCCGACGTTCGACTTGAACGCGCCCGATTGCGAGACTGGGGATAATCTGAAGGTGGCCTCATCAGAAGGGTTCAGAAATGGGACTCAATAGCGGTGCTCCTCACGTACCGTCAACGAGGGAGCAACGTGTCCGAGTTTCTGCGAAGACAAATTAATCAAGCAGACACAGGAACAGAGTGCGGGCGACCTACCTGTGATACGAGGAACTCAGAGTCTTGTAGTGCGCCTCGAAGGCCTCCAGTGTGCCATGGGCATCCGTGTACCATTTGCGCGCATGAACCCACCTATTAGAGTGAGTGAACCCGGGACCTAGCACGGTGAGTGGATTTCCACGTACTTTGCACCCTTCAGGTCTGGTGCGGGAGGCCACCGCGTCATCTTGCAAGGGGCGCGTGGCTTTTTTGACGCAGTTGTCTCCGAGGGCTTGTCAGGAAGCTGTATCGAGAAGGAAGTACTTACAATATACGAGCCGACATCTTGATTGTAGTATGCTAAAGTTGCAAGGCATGGGATCAAGTGTTAAGCATCAAAGTCTGAAAACCCTAGAGGAGACGGCTTGCACGCGAGGGGATAGAGATGGTAGGTGTAGTGAATAAAGAGACAAAATGTACCTTGAGCGAATTTGAACGTCGGCGCTTAAAGCGCATGACGTCATATTCTTACCCTCCTCACCAAGAAAGGAGATTGATGGAGAGAAAAGGGGAAAAATGTGGCAGAAGATGGGCATGAAATAACACTCCTCTTCACTGAGGAAGGAGCGATTGAAATGGAGAAGGAGAGGGAAGAATGGTGCAGAAAATGCAAATGTGCGATGTTGGTGCACGTACCAAAGAACTCCTCTGCGCATCCACCCAACACCTCCTCGCGTCCGACTCATCCTCATCCTCCCCCTCATCCCAAACCCCTTGAGTCTGGGGTCAAATGGGAAATATGGCATAACTGGGGGTGGAGAGCATAACAGCATCAGCGGGCGGGGGCAGTGGATCGAAGTGATTGTAGAAGTTTGCGAACTGGGTAGTAGGAGCGAACAGCCGCACGCACAGACACCTGGGGTGGCTGGTCCAAAGGGCACATGCAATGGTTTGTGAGCACAAGCTAAGGGTGTACATAGACTTTAGAGACACGTTAGAGACAAGCGAGAGATACGTCGACGTCACCGGTGTCAGGACATGCACGTCTGATCCAGTCACCATAAGGTCAGTTAGAGACAGCGTTTGAGCGTCTGAAATCGTCCGCCCAATATGAACCGAGACTTTCCGACCTCAACCGCTCTGACACGACTTTCGCCGACGTAAACCAGCGGAACCCATGTAGGTTCTCACTGGGCTTGAAAGCTCGCGATCGTCACAGGCTGTTCCTTCACCCTTTCACCCGGCATCCGCATTTCGTCGTCGCCGACACGTGTACGCCACCACCCCGTGCGCTACCTTCGCACGGAGAAGGCGGGTACGGGCGCGAGGTCGCGCGCGCGAAGCGGATGGGTGCAGGCGAGCCGGTAGTGACACGTTGAGCTCAGGTCCGGAGGTTCGCTGTCGCTTCGAGCTCCTCGGCTCGGTATCTCCACCCCCGCTAGAGATGACCGATGAACGTTCCCGGTCACAGGAAGCAGGTATACGATCGTTGTCTCGCGACCATGGGTCCTGGAGCGCTCTTGCAAGGCGGTCGAGCATAAAGTGGTGATCTGCAACCTGCTTCGCGAGTTCACGTTCCTCTGGAGTAGGCACCTTGTTTGCACGGCGCGCCCGCGATTCAGCTCTCCATTTTGCGACCTGTTCAGGGTCGCTGTCGTACTTGCCGTGTTTGGCAAGGACGGCCTGTTGAATAAGGGACAGTGGCTCTGGAGGAGTGTTGGGAGGGGGAGGAGGAGCGGAAGCTTGGGCGGCATCGTACTTCATGACCTTGTAATGAGCCCGCAAGCTCTGCAGAATGTCAGAAAGCACGTCGTCCATGGGGCTACGGAAGAGCAGGGGGCCCTCAGGGGAACGTATTCTAAGCCCGCCAGCGACCTCCATCGTGTACGACTTCTGGCCGCATGTGTGCATGCACTCCGGACCCGCGTATCTGTGAAAGTAGTCTTCTACCCAGGAGGAGATGTCGGGGCAATTTGAGCGGAGGTAGTGCACGGCGTAGTAGACAAGGACGTGGAAGAATGACTCCAGCTCGTCGCAGATTTCCACGGGCTTGGTGATGCGCGTGAGCAGGCTCACTGACATGAACTGATAGGTTCCCTGATTGCGCTTTGTCGTGAGTCGACTCATGCCTAACGAATAAAAGAGCAACCCACCATGCGGTCCGCCTGCGTAACTTTCGACATTACCTCACGGGAGTCCAATGGTCTCGACAGCTCCCAGTCGGTCAGGACACCTGTCCAAACAACTGTAGGTATTTGTCCCTCAGGAACCCGTACAATTTTTGGGTATATCAGAATATTACCCCCGCTGATGTCGCAGTGTAGAATGCGGGTCTCCGAATTTGTAGCCGCTTGGTGGTGTGCTGCAAATACAATAATCAGAACGAATGCGGGCATACAATGCGTCAAAACTCACCACGCAGGCAGTCATAAACAACAGCGATGAGCTGACGGCCGTATCGAAACTTATCCAGTGGCATGCACACCTCCTCCACAACGATGCGATGGTGTCTGTGTTGTCGGAGGATCCCGTCCGGAAGAGATTTTGCGCGGCGCCTCTTCCGCTTCTTGCCGCCCGACGATGAAGAAGGGACTGCTGTGGCCGAAGAGGGTTCCGATGATAGAAGACGAGCCTGTATGCGCTCCCACCAGTCGGCGGTGATCGTAGCCTGATCGCGCACGTCACCGTCGCAGACGAGAGTGGGCACGTGTGGCACGCCAGCAGCGTTGAGCTTCCGAAGAACCTCGCCCTCAGTCTTGGTGAGCATATACGACGCGCGCCACACGTCCTTGAGCCACACGAAACGACCTGTCTCGCACTCGTATGCGACGTAGCCACGCGTGCCACGACCCAATAATTCGGGAGGACAAAAGGTAGGCTTCCCCACGAGGTAAGCGTGCGACTTGGAGCTCTCTCCGTCGTTTATATGAAGCTTGAAGCGCGGCCAGTCGTCGGAGAGCGACGTCCTAAACAACGACCGAACGTACTCGAAAACGGGGTGTTCACGAACCTCGGACTCGTCAAGCCGACGTTCTGTGTCGCTCAGATCGGTGTCCGTCTTGAGGCCGGCGAAGTCCATTAGCGTGAAGTCGGTGTCGCCAGGAAGGATACGAGTGGCGCTGGGATCGAACCCTAGCGAGCTCTCGTCGAGCTGTCCAAGCCGCCACAGGATGTCGCAGAGGATATGAGGGTGGCCGTAGTAGTCAATGGCAGGAGTACTGATCACCCCGGCACGATCCCAGCGCAGGACGCGAAACCTGCGTCCGACGAAGAATAGCATGAAGAGGAAGACACGTTGCTGGGCAGCGAAGAGAATCTCTGCGATGTCCGAGATACAGTCGAGTACCTCCGTCCGAGAACGGTTAAGTGCGCCATAGTTATTTTGAGGTGCGGCAGCATCGAAAGGGTCGATGTTAGTGCGGTGAGTCTGAACGTGGATGGGTACACTCTGGTCGGCCCAATGTGGGTGTTCTCCTGTTGGTAAAGCACCGGTGCGAAAGAGTGCTGTGGACAGCTGTGTCCCATCTGTACACTCGAAGTCAGGAGGAAGATGATATCTTGACGCCGTGGAACCGGAAACAAGGCCAGTGTCGTTGATCGCTGCCACCTACTCTACGGGTGAGTTCAGCCGTTGAGAATGGGAGAAGGAACTCACAATCAGCTCTGAAAGTTCGTTCTCAATCAACCTGTTAGCGTTGCTTAGAGCATGGAATGGGTTCGATTCCGCTTTACTGCGGTCGGAGAAATCGCGTGGTTGCGGGAGGAACTCGTGGCAGAATTCCTCTGCGGCGAGAAGAACAGCGGACGTCGTCATGGAGTACGCAGATGTACGTGTCACCGTCGATGTGGTAAATTGACAGGAAAGAAGGTGCGAGTCTGACGGCCGCTATGGAGATGTGTTAGGTCAAGGACAATAAACATGGACACGCGTACCGCTTACCATTTCAGGACAGGCTGAGAAAGTGATCAAGTGATCGCCTACTCACAGTAGTGTACTATCCAGCAGTGCATAATGCGGGCGCACATTTTTAAAGGTGAGTTTATCCTTGAATATGTACAATAAATTTGGGGATGAAGGTGACCCATAGGGCACTGGGATACCAGGCGTTAGTGATCGGGATCTCCAGCACCGTCGCGATCAATCCGAACTTCTACCTATTGCATTGCGATATTCGTCTTATCAGTGTTTTGGATATGCGGCCACAAAGTCGTACCCTGGCGTTGATTTGCATAATCTTGGCGGGGTGGATCGTCGTCGTATGCATAGAAACTGAGACGCGTCATCGACCGTGAGTATGGGCGCCTGATGCTGTGGCGCTCAATCGCGTCTCAGCGAGCATAATCGAGAAGGCGTAAGATAAGATATATCTAGAGCACAAAGTACGACACACTTGAGCTATATGATAATTGATACTACGGAAGTCGATGGATAAGTTAACCGCTTCGCAAGTCCTTCTCTCTGATGTGCACGGAATGACTAGAGCGGCGGCGGCACTACAGATGAAGGGGACGGGGTATAACGTATAAGGGACGCAAGTCTATCACTGTACAAGTAGATGCAAATAGCGGAGAATAACACTCCAGAATAGCAGAGCAGTATGGAAATTGAGGGAGAATCGGCTGGTAGGAGACACGGATAAAATCCGGGCCTGACAGCGATCAAGTCACGCACAGGGAGGGGAGGTGTTTTGGAAGATGAGGTTATCGCAAGTGTCGGGAACCCTCCTCGTGAGCGACGTATGTACGTCCGGTGATCCTGCCTATGTCTTTGCGCCCCTGCGAATGGGGAGAGTGCGGGCCCAACTTCGCGTACGACGTGCGGAGGTGTGCAGGTGCGCCGGTAGAGAGATGTTACGCCCTGGCCCAGACGTCCGCTGTCGCTTGTTGCTCGCTGGCGCTGCCTGTGGTGGAGTCTCTGGAGACCGTGACTTCGCGTTCGTGTGCGTACCTCCGTCTGAAACCTGTGCCTTAGGCATGCGATCGTCGATGCGCCAGCGGGAGTTCCAGATCTGTCGGGCGAGCAACCCGAGCATGAACTCGTGATCTGCGACCTTCGTCGCTAGTTCCCGATCGTCGGGCGTGGGACTGCGGTCCATTAGCGTTTCTGACTCCCATTGTGCCTCCCACTGTGCAACCTGAGGGTGATCTTTGTACTTCGACGTCGAGGGGACAAACCCCACGGGTACATAGGGCTCTTCACGCAAGGGCTTTCTTTGAGGTCGAGGGGAGGGAGGAGAGGCTTGCATCGCTTCGTATTGCATGACTTTGTAGTGCGCTGTCAAGCTCTTGAGTATGGTGCTGAGGACGAAGTCCATGGGGCTGTGGAATAAAAGGGGGCCTTCGAGGACCCTCGTGCGGAGCTGGCCAGTGAACTCGATGGTGGTCGACTTCTGCCCGCAACAGAGCATGCGTCCGGGGCCGGCATACGTGTGGAAGTAGTTGCCAACCCAGGAATCGACGTGTTTGCAATTCGAATGGAGGTAGCGGATGGCGTAGTAGACGAGGACGTGGAAGAAAGACTCGAGTTCGTCCGAGATCTCGACGGGCTTAGTGATGTTTGTGAGGAGATTGACGGACATGAACTGGTAGGTTCCCTGCACGTGAAGTCAGATTGGTGCTATAAGCAAGTGATGTCATTCATGTACGTACCATGCGTTCTGCTTGCGTAGCCCTTGATGCTGCTTCCTGAACTCCAACGGGCTTTGAAAGCTCCCAATCGCTAAGGATGCCGGACCACACCAACGAAGGATTCTGGCCGTCCTCGTCGCATCTCACCTTGGGATAGATAAGGATGTTGCCGCCGCTGATGTCGCGATGAAGAAGCTGAGTCTTGGGATTTGTAGCCGCCTGATGATGAGCTTTGCAGGACGGTGTTAGGCGCATTCAATGAGAGATCGCACGATGAGCTTACCTCGCAAGCAATCCAGGACGATAGATAATAGTTGCTGCCCGTGCTGAAATTCCTTGAGAGGCATGCAAACCTCGTACACAGCGATACGATAATGTCGGTGCTGCCGAAGAGGACAGTCCGATTTCGTGCTTGCTCTGGGACCATAGGCCGACCCTTCAACGAATCCTGACTCCTCCACCCGTTTGCGCTTCTTGCTACTCTGGGATGAAGAACAAGGCGTGCACGAAGAAGCAGTGAGGAACGGTGATGATGGAGGATGAGTATCCGGGGGCAAGAGTGGCTGCTGGTGTCGTTCCCAGAAGTCGCCCGTGGTAGTGCGTTGATGATGGACATCGCCGTGACATACCAGCGTAGGAACATTTTCAACACCAGCGCAATTGAGTTTGTGGAGAGTGTCGCCTTCGGTCTCCGAGATCACATAAGAAGCGCGCCAGGCATCTTTGAGCCACACGAAGCCACCGGTTTTGCAGTCGAGGGCGACGTAACCTCGTGTGCCGCGGCCGACCAAATCGTTGGCACAGAAGACAGGTCTCCCCACGAGAAACGCATGAGAGCCTGTGTTGTCGTCGATCTGGAGTCGGTAGCGCGGCCAGTGACTTTGGAGCGACTTTCGGAACAGGGAACGGACGTAATCAAAGGTGCAGGGACCTTGACATTCCATTTCCTCAAGCTTGCGCTCAACGGGACTGACATCCGTTGGGTTCTTCAAGGATGCAACGTCCATGCGTAAGAAGTCGATATCTGCAGGAAGCAAACGAGTGGCGCTAGGGTCCAAACCGAGAGCCTCGTCTGTAAGTCGAGAAAGCCTCCGAAAAACATTGGACAGAACGCCCGGGTGTTCGTAGTAGTCGATGGACTGGGTGAATACGACCCCAGCGCGATCCCAACGGAGTAAGCGGAAGCGGCGACCAACGACGAAAAGCATGAAGTGGAACACGCGATGTTGCACAGCGAAAACTAGCTCCGCAATCGCAGATAGACGTTCAAAGAGCCTTTTGCGTGGCTTGGCGAGCCGGGCATGTGCCTTGCTATCTTTGAATTCGAAAGGGTCGATTCCGCGACGATGGCTGTGGAACTCGATGGACACCGCCTGGTCGAACTCGAGAGGCTGAGTCCCTATGACGGAGTCTTCAGCACGGAAGAGGGCGGCGCTACTACCGAGTGGATGTTTTTGGGAAGAGGGCTGATATGGCGACGCTGTTGAGCCTGCAGTAAGACAGTGGTTGTTGATGGCAGCGACCTAGGATGTGGATTAGCCCTGTTACGCCCAGAATGAGAGAGCATTAACTCACAAATAGCTCCGAAAGAGCCTGGTCAGAGACGTTGTCTGCATCTCTTAGATCGGAGAATGGGTTATAGCTTGACTCCCCTGGAGGAGGAAGGGTGGGTTCTGGAGCGGGGAGGAATTCGCGCAAGAAGCTTTCGATGTCTAATTCAGTGGCGGAAGTCGCCATGCTCAGCCGTGCGGTGAAGTGGCGATGTGCAGACTGAGAGTTCAGCTAGAGAGATGAGTATATGAGAGATTGGCTGAATACGAGGGAGATGGTGACTCCAGTTGGTGGTTACAATGAGAAGGACAATGAGAACAAGAGTTCAACTTCTCAAGCGCTGAGCTTTCCCCTTTGAACACACGGCATCTCGGCGCAGGCCATTTAAGGAAGGACAAAGCGCCCGAAAAGTGCTGAGCGTCACTGTCACTTGACTGCCCTATCGAACCGGTAGCTACCACCAAGTCCGATATCCGGGCCTTCGCCGATGGCCAAGCAATATAGTGTGATTGTGAGGCTTCAGCATTTCTGTGAATTTTGAGAGAGGTTGTGCGGGAAAAAACATCAATGTGACTTCTAATGGGGCACTGGCACATTCGAATTCAGCACGACGGTGCCATTAATAGATACACTAGTCCTGTAGTCTTTGCAGACTACACCTCAATAAATGAGAGACATAGGGGCACAAGAATGGTGTACATACTTCTTCCGAGGCAACTGTTATGAAGGAAACCACGACGCGTTCTCGCCAGGATTCACGGTGCGCATCTCGTCACGTCTGCCGTCGGGAAAGCTGTGCGATTGCAGTCTCTCGCACCTTCTGTCCTGGGGAGATACCGGAGGTGGGAATGACGGCATGTGGGGATTTCCAGCCCTTCGGAACCCGGTCACCACTGGGGTGTCGAATTGCTTGATCCCATCCGTATCCCATGCTGAGAGCCTTCGCGAAGGCCCAATCCATCCAGGAGTGATTCCGCATGTGATTGGCGAATACCCTTTCTCCCTCGTTAGGCTCCTGCGGTTTCTTTACCGGTGTCACGTTGATATGTTCCTCCCAGTCTGCTTCGTACTTGGCCCGCGTGCACTCATCTAGCAGACCACGAGGAGCCTCTGAGTTCTTGTTCACACCGCTAGGAGAGCAGTTGAGCTTGATGGGCGTGAGGGTTTCCGTAGTGCTTGGGTTCTTCTCTGCCCAAGCATCATAGGCTCTAACCTTGTAGAGGGCGCTGAATCGAAGGAGACATTGCCCAATGAACGCATCGAGGGGAGCACAGAAGCTGACGGGTACGAATGCCATATTTCGTCGACGAAGCAGCCTTCCATCTACCACAACGATGCTCAACTTGCGCTCTCCACAGAGGATAGCGTCGCCATCAATAGTGTAACAGTCGAAGCACTCGTCGAGGAAGCTTGCAACATCGGTGTCATGAAGGATGTTGGACTCGAGATAGCGAGTGGCGTAGTAGATGATGATGAGGATGAAGGACTCGAGCTCGTCCGGGATGCTCACTGGGCCAACAGCATTCAGCAGATTGGCAGACATGAATTGGAAAGTTGCCTGAATTGGATAGTGATTTATGAGCGTACGTGGTAGGATCTTCAGCGAAAGAGACGTACTGTCCTCTCCGGCTGTCGAGCCCGGGGACGCACCCCTACCGCGATTGGCTTGGAGATCTCCCAGTCAGTCAAGATGCCTCTCCAGAGGAGCTGGCGACATCCGTCTTTCATGCCGACACCAGGATAGATGACAATGTTATCGTCGGTGATATCCCGGTGCAGGATACCATTGTTCTCAAGATTTGCTGCGAGACGGTGCGCTTTGCAATGAAATGTTAGCAGGTGGTGCGCGGTAGGGCGAAATTAACAAGAACTCACTCTCGAAGCAATCGTAGATGATGCTGGCCAGCTGCCTCCCAGTCTTGAATTTCTTGAGATTCATGCATACTTGTGCAACCACTGCACGATAGTGCTTGTGACGACGTATCGGACATTCTAGCTGAAAACTGTGGACGGAATCTGTTGCAATCGCTGGGGCGTCGGTGCTGTCATCCTCGAATTTTCTCTTCACGCCCCGTGGATTCTTGCATTCCCACCAAGCAGCTGTCGCCGTCCTCTGCCTATCAACGTCCCCGTGGCAGATCACGGTTGGAACACCAGTGATACCAGCATGATTGAGGCGCTCCACGATGGTGCCTTCCTTCTCCATCTCATCGTACGAAGCACGCCATGCATCCTTGAGCCGCACAAAGCGGCCAGTTTGAACGTCGAGACCCACATAGCCACGTGTACCGCGGCCTATCGCTCCGCTCGCGTAAACAGTGGGTTTCCCCACAAGATAGTCCCGTGTCTTCCCTGAGTCCGGGACGCGGAGCTTGAACCGTGGCCACCGGGGGTCCTTCAGCGATCTAGCGAACATCTGCCGAACATAGTCGAACACGAAGCCAGGCCCTTCCGCATCCTCGATCTCTGATTTGAGCTCGAGCTCTCCATCCTCGAGCGGTCGTGGTTCACTGCTCACGTCGGACTCGAGGGCGGTGGCAAAGGTGTCCATCTGCTCCCACTCTGGATCGGTCTCAAAGAGACGCGTGGCAGTAGGGTCAAAGCCTAGCTTGTTGTCAGGTAGACGTGAGATGCACCAGAAGAAGTTGCACAGAGGGTTCCAGTCTTCGAAATAATCGATTGACTTGGTCACGATGACACCTGCTCTGTCCCAGCGGAGGATGCGGAAGCGACGTCCGATCACGAAGAGCATGAATATGCAAACGCGCTGCTGGACGGTGAAGAGAAGGTCAGCGTAGGAGGTGAGCTGTCCACGAACTGCCTTGCGAGTGCAGGACTTAGGCTCAAGGCTTGAAGTGAGCGCCAGGTCCTCGTCATCATCTTCATCGTCGTCAAGCTCCGGGGGATCGGCTCCTTGGTCTTCGTCATCTTCGTTGCCTTCTTCAGTTTCCTTCCCGGCTCTTCTTCCTCCTCCGCCTCCTCCTCCTCCTCCTCTTCCTCACCTGCTTTCGGATCCTCGAACGGGTCACGTATATCACCCTTTTTGCGCGTCTTGATCTCGACGGGCCATCAGCAAAATGTCATGGTCTTGAATCTGAACTTGGGCCAAGACCACGGTCTTAGAGCCAAGACCATGGTCTTAGCCTCAAGTCTGCAGTCTTGGTGGTCTTGAGGTCAAGACCATGAACTTGGAGCCAAGACCGTGAACTTGGAGCTAAGACCGTGAACTTGGAGCTAAGACCGTGAACTTGGAGCCAAGACCATGGACTTGGCTCTAAGACCGCGGTCTTAAAGTCAAGACTATTGTCTTTAAGTGCTTAAGCAACTTAGAGTTAAGGGTCAACTTGTCTAAATCAATATAAGTGTATCTAGATCATATAAGGATATGGTCTAGTAATGATCTTATAAACTGCATAATTGTGTATATGTTCAAGATAAGAATGGTCATGAGACCTACTATAGTGTTCAATGCTTAAAGACCATGTTACTTCCATTATAGCACTACAATGACAACCCTACATATGCTATTGCAGGGTACAGTAGTGATCAATAGAAGTCTAGTGGCCCTTAACTTCATAGCAGGTAACACTACTAGCCTTGAAACTGCATTGTTGCAGTACTGAGTAGTGACAATTCTTTCCAAGTCCAACAAAATGCACCATATATTTATGGTGCACATATCTATCTACAAGTCAATATGGTGCAGTGGTCTAAATGGTGGTTCAATGTGGTAGTGCTAGAGGTTGCTGGTTCAATCCTAGCTGGTGTCTTTTTTTTCCTTCGCATATCTGCTAATCATTGTATTGCTGTACATCACCATGCTAGAGAC